CCGGCGCAGGTGCAGGGACATCCCGTTCCGCAACCGCAGGGGCTGATGTACCGCGAGGCAGATGTTCCGCGGCGGCGGGAGAAGCTCGGACCAGGGCCGAGACTCCCGGGAAGGCTCCCTCAGTCGTGGCGGTTTGCGGGAAATCGCCGGTTGGTGATAAAGCGTCGAGGTTACAGAATTCAAGTCTGCACGGCGCGACCAGCTCTAAGATTCGTGAAATTCGGGATGGTGAGACTGGAAGCGCTGCACCGGCGCCGGCGCCTCCTCCGGCGCATTCCACGCCGGACCCTGCGGTCATCTCAGGGGAGGGACCCAGGTCGGACGCAGCACCGCCGAAGCCCCACGCGCACATGGGGAGCCTCGTCGTGGAGACCGCCGCGTCTCCGCGGAAGCCGCAACCGCAACTGGCGTTTCCGCGCTCCGTTTCGAGCCCCGGGGCGACCAGCCTCTCCGCCGCGCCGCCGCCGGCTGCCCTCCTGGCCCGACAGCAGTTTCCGTCTTCCAAGTCGCTCCCGACGCCCCACGACCACCCAGTTGTTCCTTCTGACGAATCCTCCGCGACTGCTCCGGCTGTTCGTTTCTCCACTGCTACGCGGGCTTCCGCTAATCATGGTAGCAACGATGCTGGCGTGATTACCGCTTCACCATTGCTCGCCGTTTCGCGTACGGAGCTAGTCGTCGCTCAAGTTGAGTCGCACGTTGAGCCTAGCTATTCGTTGACTCCCCACCCGCCGTCCTTTCCGCCGTCGCCGACTGCTTCGACGTCCCGCCTCCGACTCTCCCGCTTCCGAAGCGTCGCGCCTTCCGCCGCTGCTCCCGCCGCTGCTGCCGCTCCTACTGCTGCGCACGCTGCCGCTCCTCCCGCTGCCACGTCAGCCGCTACATTCCAGCCAGCGAGCCACGTCGACATGAGCAGCAGGCTCGCCCATACTCGTCCACGCCCCAACCTTCGAGTCGACCTCCCTTCGTCACAGTCACATCCCGACGCCCTCTCCACACAGTCACACTCAAGCTTTTCCCCCGATTCGTCCCCCGCGCCGTCTCCGCCCTTCACCGTCCCCCTCAGCGCGCACCGACAGCACCGCCTGCTTCTCCACCGCTCCTTCCCCCTGTCCCCCTCCCCTCTCCAATCCGAACCGTCGAATCAGGGGAGCAGGATGCGATCCAACGGCCCTGGTAGCCTTTCCTCCTCCGCCCCCTCCTCCCCAACTCCTGCTTCTGCGCGCCACTCCCCTTCCCCCCTCTTCTCTACAACCTCCTCCCCCCGCCCTTCTCCCATTTCCCCCGCATCCTCCTCCCCCCGCCGTCCTCCCTCTGGGAGGCGCCCATACTCCCCCCTCCGCTCGTGCTCCTCTCTGCCGCCCAGCTCGGCTACTCCCCCCGTTACGGTCACACTGGGGCCAAGAACAGCATCAGGGCCGGTGCTGGTGGGTGCAACGAGAGCACAGACCAGAGCAGTTTCCCAAGGGAGGAGTACCAAGTCAGGGTTGGCGCCAGCATTGCGCGCTGGCGCAGCGGCTGTAGCAGGAATGTCGGCTGTAGCAGGAACGTCGGCTGTAGCAGGAACGTCGGCTGTAGCAGGAACGTCGGCTGTAGCAGGAACGTCAGCTGTAGCAGGAACGTCGGCTGTAGCAGGAGGTGCAGCAGCAGTGGATGTCGCCCAAGGAACAAGGCTGGGTGCACCAACTGATGCAGTAGATGGCGGTAATATCAGTGGCACTGGCACTCGCAGCGGCAGTGGAAGTGGAAGTGGCAGAGGTACTGGCAGTGGGAGTGGCAGTGGCAGTGGCTGCGGCAGTGGGAGTGGCAGGGGCGGTGGCAGCAGTACCGGTTCTCCAGGCTATTCATCTCCGAGGCTGCTAGGGCGAGCTGTAGGGTGCCCATCGCCTCTTTCCCATGGCTCCACTTCTCGTGATGCGTCAAACTTGAGGAGTGAGCCAGTGTCAAGGTTGAAATCATCCCACCAGATCCAGCATGAGCAGCACTCGAGGTCTAACCATGTGGCTGCTGGCATGGAAGCATATCCGCGTGCCAGATCGGACAATGTGAGCGCTGCTGCCATGGCACAACCCACCGTTGCTCAGCAAATGCTTTCTCTCATGCCGAGATCTGCCACAGAACCAGGTTTGCACGATGAGGTCGGCATTCAAGCCATGTCTTTCCACTCCCCTTCAGTGTCTTTTAGTCCCATGAGCGCTTCAACAACTGTGGGATCGCCATTTTCGTCTTCGTCCTCGTCATCGTCCACACTAGACGGTGAAATTAGTTCATCTGGGAGTGAACGACAAGTATCTATTAAGCGAAATCCCCTGGTAACACTCAAGCTTCAACATTTTTAGATCATATGTTTTTGTTATATCACAGTGGCTTGGTTCTGATGTACATATTTTAGATTTCTAGCTTCATGTTGAAATATCGTTAGAAGTTGGCTGTTTTTTTAGCGATAACGGTATCACCAGAAATGTTGTTGTGAAGATGCTGGATGTTTTATCTGACGGTGTACCGCATGCTGCGTTCATCGAACGAACAATGACCTTCGACAGATCACAAAACAAACCCTTGCGTCTAGCCCAGAGCATGAGTGCCGGCGCCCTAATCGAGGTTCCCAGCCAGTCGCATGGTCCGACGTGTCAGCTCCGGAAAGGCCCGCGCCACACCAACATCTCGCCTTGGCCACACCAAACCCTCGCAGCAAGGTATCGAAACCCTCGCTCTGGCCGAGCCCACACCATACCCTAGCCTTGTCCAGAAGCGAGTTTCCGCGTCCCTCCACCACCCCACCAATTTTTTTATCGCGCTCGCCACCTCAATGCTGCGCGCAAGGCCGATCAATAATTCCGCCTCTCCCTCAGGCTTCGTCTCCGCTTCCCCCAGGCCGCAACAGCGATCGAGCGCCAATATCCGCCAGCTTCCCAAAGCCGCCCAGGTTTTTCCCCCATGCCTTCCCCATACCTGCTTCATTCCCCCCATACCTCCCCGGCACTTTCCCCCAGGCCTCTCTGTTTCCCCCCCAGGCCTCTTCCGTCTCCCCCCAGGCCTGCCTCTCTTGCTTCTTCACCAGACCCAAACCATGCGTCTGCAGCACCGGCAGCCATAGATCTGTTTCCAAACTCGCGTTGCTTTCTCCAAGCTTGCCTTTCTTTCTTCCCTTGCCTCCGGTTTGCCGCGACCCTCGTTCTCCATTCTTGTTACTGCTCCCTTCCTCTCCTGTTTCTTGGCTCGTTTAATTTTACCGCCGCTCCTGTGTTGGTCTGGCTTCATCCCGAGCAATGGCTGGCACGAGCTAACCTCCCTAGCCAATACATACATCTCGAATCGCGGATTTAGATAATTCGATTTCCTCACATTCGAATAGGAGCTAATTCTGGAACCGCGTTGACGACTGGTTTCCACGTAGTTGCAAGATATTCAATCGAGTTACTAAATTCACCTGAAGAATGACTTCCGTCGCGTACGGCACGCAAGGCGAGCCTAGGAACATTGTTAACGGTAACGGAATGTCTCCTCACGACCTCTCGTGTGTGAATGACGGAAGCATGCAACAACCTGTTCATGGAAGCATTCTCGACCAACAGCAACAGCAGCAACAGCAGTCTCAAGTTGTCCTGGACGGACAGCCGGAAGAACTGAAAGCTTCGCTTCAAGATTCCCAGCATCCCGATCAATATTCCGTTCCTCCTCCGCTTCCTTCCGAGCAAATTAAGCAAGAGCAGCAACAGCAACAGCAGCAACAAGAACATCAGCACCATCAAGGTCCGCAGGATGACCAAATGGAACAGCATCACCACACAAGAGAACAGCAGCAGCAACAACAGCAGCAGTCACAACAACAACATCACCTCCTCCAGCAGCAGCAGCAGCAGCAACAACAGCAACAGCAGCAGCAGCCGGGTCAGGAGGAGCATCAGGGTCCGCTCCATTCCCAGTCGTCCGTTCCGAACAGCATGCAGTCTGGCCTTCAGAGCGCCATGCAAGCGAGCGTGCAGAGCGGGAGCACCATGCAGCCGGGCCCTGCTTCCGAACTCACACAGGCAAGCAGATTGTCATTTTCCAAAAATTACCCCCTATTTGAAAGTTGCTATTTGAACATTTTACCTCATTTTCCGTACTTTTTGTTGTTTTATATCTGCTCGTGGCTGTGTGTCTGGCCATGCAGGCAATGGATCCTCAAGCCATGGCAGACGGCGTCCATCATCAAGCCTACGACGGGGGCCTCGCAATGCAAGTCGTCTCAGAGGAATCGGAACCTCCTGAATCCCAACAGCCCTACAGCCCCCTCAACATCCACGGTACACCCCGAAATACCTTTTATGGCACCTCAGTTTTTGCCAGTTTTTTTCCAATTCAGAAGCAATTCAGAAGCGCTTCAGGTCTTGGTTTCAGTTCTTGATGTAACCCTCAATTCGCCTGCCCGTGTTTCGCCCGTGCGTCCGTGCCTTTGTGTGTCAGATCTGCTGCCGATCGAGGCTGCGCGCGTGCGCTTCCTGCACCTGATCATCGACCACTTTGTGACGTACCACATCGTCCCCATCTCTGAGGAGTCGCAGCTCGCAGCATCGCACTCCCCAGGGGAGAGGAGGAAGCGCAGAGCGAGAGAGGTGAGCGGAGGGCGTGAGATGCTTCTGCTAGAAGTAGTAGTAGTAGCAGTAGTTTTAGTTTTGGTTTTGGTTTTTTTTTCTTCCTCTGCTTCTCATTTGGTTTCTATCCATCCCAAGCACACCCTTTTCTCATGCCCCTACCCACCCCCCCCCCCCCCCCCCCCCCCCCCCCCCCCCCCCCACCCTTCTCCCCCTCCCTCCCTCCCCTCTGTGTGTGTGTGTCTCTCTTTTTTGAATTTCCTTTTCTTTTTTGGGTTCTTGCTATGTTGTGCAGATGGAGGACGGGCAGCCGCCAGTGGAGCAGCAGGTGATCCGGCCGTCCTACGAGGGGGACCCATGCGCATCTCTCTCTCCCCCCCTTCCTTCCACCCATTTATTATCTTGGCTTGATTCGTTCCGCAGATGGAGGACGGGCAGCCGCCAGTGGAGCAGCAGGTGATCCGGCCGTCATACGAGGGGGACCCGCGGCATCTGCTGCCGCTCATCTTCCTGGCGAACGCGTATGAGACGCTGGTGGGCGAGGTGAACGGGCGCATGGCGGAGATGGACGTGCTGCGCGGCAAGACCATGGGGCTCGCGCTTGAGGCTGCTGGAGGATTGTATCGCCGCATGGTCGAGAAATTCCCCAAGTCCGGTGGGTACCAGGGGTGCTCCCTCCCTGTCGCCCACCCTGCCTGTCTGCCTGCCCGCCTGCCTGCCTGCCCGCCTGCCTGTCTGCGTCCCTCCTCCCGTCCACCTCTCCCTTGGTACCGGAGATGACATTCTCAATAGATTCAATGCCGCTCACTCGGATGATTCAATGCTTCCCCCCTTCCCTGCCCACCCCACTCCCCCCTGCTTCCCGCTCCACTCCCACAGGAGTCAGGGAGATGACATCAGCACTAGAAGCCAGTGGGCGCTTCCCCCAGCTGGTGCTGGGGAGGGACGACGCGGTTTATCGTACAATTTCCATGTCATGGTGTGCATGGGCTGGAGCTGGTGGAGGGGGGTGACAAGCGCGTGCTACAGCTACTCTTTCTTCCAGCGCCCCCCTGCTGACTTTTGAGTCGACTCAAAAGTCAACCTGGTGGAGGGGGGTGACAAGCGAGTGCTACAGCTACTCATTCTTCCAGCGCCCCCCTGCTTTCTGCTCCTCTGGTTTCTCCTTCTTCCAGGAGCCGTGACCATATTCAGGCGAAGGGAGATGGCGTCTGCACTGGAGGCTAGGGCGCGCTTCCCCCAGCTGGTGCTGGGGCGGGACGACAAGCGCGTGCGGTTCATTGTGGTGCACGGGCTGGAGCTCGTGGAACGACCCTCCACCATGTCCCCTGATGACGCTGAGTGGTAAGCTCGTCACTTTTACAAAGAGAGCTAGCTTCACTATATGTTCCAAGGGGCTACAAGCGTGTGCGGTTCATTGTGGTGCACGGGCTGGAGCTCGTGGAACGACCCTCCACCATGTCACCTGACGATGCTGAGTGGTATGCCCTCGTTATGTTCCCCAACTGCGAAGAGCTTGCAGTTTTTATCTTTTGAGCTTGTTACGGGCTACAAAATAGGGCTCATCGTGTGGTACATGGGCTGGAGCTCGTGGAACGACCCTCCACCATGTCACCTGACGACGCTGAGTGGTAAGCTCGTCACTCTTACAAAGAGAGCTGGCTTCACTATATGTTCCAAGGGGCCACAAGCGTGTGCGGTTCATTGTGGTGCATGGGCTGGAGCTCGTGGAACGACCCTCCACCATGTCCCCTGACGATGCTGAGTGGTATGTTGATCGTAGCTGATCGTACCGCTCTCTTTCTTCCACTGGGCCACATTAGTGGTGCATGGGCTGGAGCTGGTGAGATGCGCTGAGTGGTAGGCTTGTCACCATACACCTGTACATTGTCTCACTTCACTACCCATAGTTGCTCGTTTCTATTGCTCATGTTGCTGAGTGGAATGCTCAAGAAATCCATTTTATTCGCCTCTCCTCTTCCATGTTCAAGATCATTAGGTGGCGGCACGAGGTATCAATATACCCATCGGACTGCAAATACGCCACGCCACAGCTGAAACTTCAGCGGGTAACGGGTTTATTCAAAGCACTCAAAGAACCGTCCCTTTCCTCTCCGCCTCACCTCTCCCAGGTTCTAGTGGATAACCAGGTGCCATGAGGTGGCGATATACCCGCGGGTCTTGGAAGTACTTAACGACACGACCCAAACCCCGGAGTGTTTTTGACGCACATAAAAGAACCTTTCACGTCCCCTCTCCCCTCTCGCAGGTTCAAGAGGATAACCGGGCGGCATGAGGTGGCAATATACCCGCGGGACTTCAAGTACTTTACGCCGCGGCCCAAACCCCGGAGGGTGCCTCAGCCGTCCGTGTCTGCTGTTTCTGTGGCGAACCCGGCTGAACTCGCTGCTCCCATGCACCACATGGTAAGGGCGGGAACTAAAGAGGGGAAGGGGGGCGGAGCGGTGGGGGAAGGGACCGAGAGGGTGCCTCAGGCGTCCGTGTCTGCTGTTTCTGTGGCGAACCCAGCTGAACTCGCTGCTCCCATGCACCATATGGTAAGTAAGGATGGTGGGAGCATGGGGGGAAGGGGAGGAGATGATTCAGAGGGGTTTAGATGGGATTGGGCGAGGGATTTAGAGGGGCGAGGTGATTTTGACGTGCCTCTGAGCTCACTGCTGCTGTGGGCATGATTGTGGGTGGCATTGTGCCATGCCACATCACGCCACGCCATGCCACGCCATGCCACGCCAGGCCACGCCACGCCATGCCACGCCATGCAAATGCATGCATCTCCTGGGATGGGGATGGCGGACTCCTTGGGATGGGAGTCAACCGTGATAGATTATTCCAATCCTCCTTCCCCCTCCTCCCCCCCCCACTCCCCCTCCCATGGTGCAGGCTATGGTCATGGCGGATTCGTCCCAGCACCATCCATCGGACCCGTCAATGCAGCAACAGATGCAGCAGCAGCACCAGCAGCAACACCAGCACCAGCACCACCAACAGCACCAACACCACCAGCAACAACAACAACAGCAACAGCAACAACAGCAGCAGCAGCAACAACAGCAGCAACGGCCGCCCAACCAGCAGCAGCCCTCCCCACACCTAACCGGCAACCCTGCACTCCAATCCGTCCCACCGCACCACCAAGCCGGAGCAGCAGGAATCCACCTCCAAATCCACCATCCAACCGGAGCGCCCATCCCTCTCCCCCCAGGCCCTCCCCACGGGCACCCCCAGCAGGGGGGGATGCCTGGGCACCAGCAGATGGGGCCGGGAGGGGGAATGCCTCTGGGCCATCTCCCCCAGGGGCCTGGGGGTCCATTGGGGCACCTGCAGGGGGGGGAGGGGCAGCAAGGCATGGGGCCGGGGGGGCATGTGCCTCCGCATTTGCCGAGGGGGTTGCTGCCTTCTGGGTCGCACCACCTGGCCATGGTTCTCACCCCGGTAAGTGAGTGGAGTTTTTTTTAGTCAACTTAGATGGGACCTGGAGGTGGGGAATGCCTCTGGGGCATCTCCCCCCTTGGGTCTGGTGGTCCGTTGGGGCATCTACAGGAGGGGGAGGGGCAGCAGGGCATGGGGCCGGGGGGGGCATGTGCCTCCGCATTTGCCGAGGGGGTTGTTGCCTTCTGGGTCGCATCACCTGGCCATGGTTCTCACCCCGGTAAGTGCATTGAGGCTGGGATTCTGACCACTAATGGTTGTGTCTGTATGGAGTATGTCTCCAAATGGTAAAGGATTCGTGGATGGTTGTGGAGATTCAACCTATGGCTGAATATCCATGCTGCTGTTTCAGCTGCAGCAGCTTAACAGCTATGCTTTCTATGCATATAAGCTGTGTGCTCCTCTTTCACCCACTTTTGTCCCCCCTCAGGCGGAGTGTGGGGAGACACCCTATGGCTGTGTGCAGCAGTCTTCAGCTGCAGCAGCGGCAGCAGCAGCTGCTGCAGCAGCCGCTCTTGCGAAGTATTGTGACGAGTGTGGGGCCACATATGTTAGGGATTCCTCTAAGTTCTGCTCTGAATGTGGCACTAAACGCCATGGCACCAATGGTATGTAGCGATGTGGGTGGCTCTGGTTTGTCGTTACATGCGAAGGGCCGATCTTGTAACAGCAGCTCATGCCAATTGTTTGTTCCACATCTCGTGGTTGTTTTACAAAATGGCCCTCGTTAACGTTTTGTATTGTGAGATAACTCTAGTTAAGCTCATGTGATGGTGATGAATGCATGAAAACAAAGCAATTGTGAGGTTTAGAGGGAGTTCTGTTCTGAGAGGCTAGCATAAACGCTGGCAGTTTCCTTTCACTAAGCCTTTCCTGCCTCTGCAGTTCTTTGTGGACTTTTATGGAGCAACTCTTTATCGTAGCGAAATAGTTGATACAGAATGACTAGAGCATCATTTTCACACGTGAAATGTTCACACATGTAGCTGCTCACAAAAACAACCTCAATTCTAGGCCCCGATCCATCTTTGACGGATATTGAACTGTACACGTACACAATCGTCCGTTCTCGCAACTGCTATGGAAATTGCGGTGCCAAGGTTCATGCGCGTGGACATGGATGAACCTGGTAAAACAATGCGGACCACGTTCAGCGATAGTGTCGTTTCGGAGAGTGTAGCTGATCGCACCTGCTGAATGCCAGCTAAAGGAACTGTGTTACAGCTGCGATGACTCAAGTGCTGACTGTGATTGGCCCTCCTACAATGGAAAGGACGTCAGTGCAGGTCCTGAGGGGGTAAACCTTGACTGTTCCTTAGAGGGTTGATTATGTGAAGCTTTCCATCAGCCAAGTGTATACAGTACGACTAAGAATGTGGAATGATGGGAGCGTGGCCGGCATATTCCACACCCTCAAGAAACTGTGGGGAAGTAGGATTGCCACCCCTCCATCTCTCGGTGATTGGGTATCATAGTTGATTGTACGGGGTGGCTTGAACTGTTTTGGGACACATACCCGATAAAAACGTTCTGTCTGGGAACTGGACTTGTTGCTTTCTGTTGCCGATGCCGTGTGCAGTTCCCCCGATGTATCCTCCCTGATTTTTGAGGCCTTGGCGGGTGATATTTTATGCCGAATCAGCTTGCTGACGCTTTTCCACGGCCCATCTTCAGCGGGCCTATGGAGGGTTACGAAAAAGATTTCATCATTGCAGGGGGCACGCGCCAGCCTCTCATATGACCGCCTGAGAATGGCGTGCTCCTGCTACGTCAGGTATTTTGTCCCTCTGCTTCGCACGCGGAGCAACGAGATAGCTTGAATCTAAGCACTTTGCTTCGAGAGTTGAGGGTGGTTCCGTGAGAGTGCGGCGGCACTTAAACAAATGGTTATGCAAATTTGCAAGAGGGAGAGGGTTCTGACAACAACTATTGTGTGTGATGTCAAAGTCTAAAACGTGAAGCATTTAATAACTACCCCTGTAAATTTTTTTTTTCAAGAAAGAAATACACTCTGAAATAAACTCTGTACACGATAGGGGTCCCGAATCGGCCATTTTGCGCTATCGGTCACGCGATTGTCGGGCACGGGCATGCGATCTGTCTCGGTTTGGGCGACCTTGCTTGGTTTTATCGGAAAGGGGGGATGGAAGGGAAGGCAGGAAGAATGAATCGATTCCGAGCGTACTGTACAGCTTGAACGAAAGCTCTTTGTGACGGGAAGGGGCGTGCGAGAGACTGTGAAGCGAACCCCCATTTCCGTCTTCAGCTCCGCACTGCGATGTTCTCTGCTGTGCACAGTGCAATCACATTCCGGCAGAAAGAAACCAGCCATGGCGTCGACGCTACGGTGGTGTCAACATTTACGCTCGCGTTCACCTCGTTCACATTTAGGAAAAAGGTCGTTCCCCCTGACTCATCTGATCCAAAACTGGCTGCAGCTTTTGGAGCAGTTGTGCAAATGGCGCTTGACACTCGATCCACAGAGATTCGTAATTTTCACTTCTGAGACTTTCTGTTGACACATAGACTCCTACGCTAGCACTTGCAAGTCTGCAATGTGCATTCTATCAGCAAAGTGCTGCCGGAAACACTTAGTAGTTGGCTCAACTCTCCACATCCACTCGAGCTTTTTAGATGGACTTCGCTCGAAATTTCTTTCTCATGCGCTCACAACTGTCAGCCTTACTACCTACTATTGGCAGAACCAGCCGCACTAGCAGCAGATTCGTCCCTGTTCCTCCTTTTTTGCGGCGCGTGGCACGGAATAGCCTTCTCCTACCTAACCGAACGCACCGAACGATTCGTCGAACCCCTGAAAGTTAATCATGTCAGCACGGGACCTGAATGCATCGAGCCGTCCAGTTTCGAGGCCGTAGTCCCGCGATGTCGTATTCATGTATATGGTGCCACTCTTACCATTATTCTCTATTACTCGTCCACGCTAGGTGTTTTCAAATCAGCGCGAGACGACTGACGAGGTGTTAGTCCAAACTACGCGTTTGTAAGCCAGAGTTTGATCAGAAGCTGTGTAGTCCAAGCGCGTTCAACAACCCAACCTTCTGACATTGGAACAACTTGGCACTGATTCAAGTTGATTCAGGAGGAGGCTTCCTCGCTAATAGTACTTATACCTGTCGATTATTTTACTGAACTCCTCTTCGAAAATAGGAAAAAAACGTTGGATTCCTCCTCTCTCTCTCTGACACCAGACAATGCGTCCGAAGCCTTCCTTAGATCGACGGCTACGAACTCATCCCCTAGGCAGCGGCAGGCACGTAACCTCAGCACCTACTAGTTGTAGTTACAGAAGCCCCATAGGTGACCCGGGTAAGGTGAAGCGGTAAGAGAGACCTGGCGAGGAGTTCTTGTGAGGAGACCTGGTGAGGAGTTCTTGTGAGGAGACCTGGTGAGGAGTCCTTGTGAGGAGACCTGGTTAGGAGTCCTTGTGAGGAGACCTGTTGAGGAGACCTTGTGAGGAGGCCTGCTGAGAGAAGCTGGTTAGAGGAGATTTGGAGAAAAGGCCTGGTGGGGATGAAACCTGGTGAGGAGAAGACCTGATGAGGAGATTTGGAGTGAATAACATACAGCTTTAAGTATCAGTGTGAGTGGATCCCATACAGCTTTAAGTATCACTGTGAGTGGATCCCATACAGCTTTAAGTATCACTGTGAGTGGATCCCATACAGCTCTAAGTAGCAGTGAGGGTGGATCAGCTCTAAGTGCCAGTGGGAGCACCAAGTACCAGAGCTCTAAGTACCATTGAGAGTGGATAACATACAGATTTCTTGAAGCCCGAAGATGAGGCAGAAAGCCACCGATCCGAATCAGCCAATCCGATCGCCGTACCATGGAGGCAGCGGCAGCAACGGCGCCAGGCCACCACCGCCGTTTCACAACACCCTGACAGGCAGCGTGTCTTTCCAAGAAGCTTCTTTTCACGAAGCTGCCGCTTTCCAGGCAGCTGCTTTCCAGGAAGCTGCCGCCTTCCGTGCAGCAGCTTTCCGGGCAGCTGCGTTCCAAGGAGCTGCTTTCCAAGCAGCGCCTCCCCCGGTAGCGCCGCCCCGAGTAATTCCGGCCCAAGCAGTGCCGCCCCAAGCAGTGCCGCCCCTAGCAGCGCCTACCCAAGCAGCCCCTCTCCGAGCAGCGCCTCCCCTAACAGTGGCTTCCTCAAGCTTCCGCCCGTCAATGGCGGCGGTGTCGCCACGTGGCAGTGCGTGGAACAGCTCCTCGATCCCACCAGAGCAGTTCATTCGCTGGAGCAATCAGGTGCGTTACTTCCTGCGCCGCCCATCCAATCCTGTCACAGAATCGATTTTATTGAGCTTTGAGACGGCTCTAGGCGCTAATATGTGCATCGTAATGATCCCTGACTGGTCTGATATTATCACGTGATCGCCCCATGTGTATGATTAACCCCAAGTGTATGTGGGTTAACCACGCACGCACACTCTCCGTCTGACACTCCAGAATTCCCAGCTGCATCTATCCTCCAACACTTACCCATGCACCATCCATAGGCCATCCATGCACCATCCATGCACCATCCATGCACCATCCATGCACCATCCATGCACCATCCATGCGCCATCCATGCACCATCCATGCGCCATCCATGCACCATCCATGCACCATCCATACACCATCCATGCGCCATCCATGCACCATCCATGCGCCATCCATGCACCATCCATGCACCATCCATGCACCATCCATGCACCATCCATGCGCCATCCATGCACCATCCATGCGCCATCCATGCACCATCCATGCACCATCCATGCACCATCCATGCACCATCCATGCGCCATCCATGCGCCATCCATGCACCATCCATGCATCATCCATCAACCATCATCCCAGCATGAGGACCTGATATTCCTCCCGCACGTGATGCGCCATGGCACACGCTGCTGAATCCACAGCTGGGTTCTGCTAGCTTGACTCGGAGCAATCAACTGCTGCCTATGTGCACCCATCATCAACCATTGTCACCGATTCTCACCCATCATCATCCCCTCAGGAGGACCGCATATTGCTGCAGCACGTGATGTGCCACGGCACGCGCAACCGGGGGCTGCTGCAGCAACTTCACACTTGACTCCAACCGCTTATCACCCATCATCACCCATCTCCATCCATCATCCCCCATCTCCACCCATTATCCCCTCAGGAGGACCGCATACTGCTACAGCACGTGATGCGCCACGGTACGCGCAACTGGGGCCTGCTGCTTTTGCGCGCCCCTTATCAGTCACTAATCTACCACCATCAACCATTGTCACCCATTCTCACCCATCATCATTTCCTCAGGAGGACCGCATACTGCTACAGCACGTGATGCGCCACGGCACGCGCAACTGGGGCCTGCTGCTTTTGCGCGCCCCCTATCACTCACTAATCTACCACCATCAACCATTGTCACCCATTCTCACCCATCATCATTCCCTCAGGAGGACCGCATACTGCTACAGCACGTGATGCGCCACGGCACGCGCAATTGGGGCCTGCTGCAGCGGAGCCGCGAGCTGCCTCTCCGGGACAACAAGGCCTGCTGCAACCGCTTCATCCTCCTTAAGAAGTGCGGCGCTACTGTTTGTGAAAAGCTGGATAGGCACGGTGCTTTCCAAGCCGTTTCAAGGTCCTTTTGAGGTGTATAGTATACAATACGCCGTTTGGGAATGACAGCCAGTTTTCAGCCATGTTTCTGGGCACGGTCTTTGATCAGGAATTCTGATCAGATCAGATTTCATTCTGCTGATCAGATCTCATGGTGCTGATGCAATCAGATCAGATCTACTGGTGCTGATCAGATCTGATGGTGCTGATCAGATTCGATTTTCCTTCGCTGTCCGTCTCCTTCCCCTCTCCCTCTCCATATCATCTCCCGTTCCGTCTCAATCACCTTGCACTCTCTCACCCTCCCCGATCCCTCCCATCTGCCATATCACTCACCGAGCAAGAGGTTTCTCGTCCAGGGTTTCCCCCACCACCTCTCTTGAGCATCAAGCAACGCCAGACCGAAGCAATTTCATAACCCTGAACCCTGGACTCAAAAGTTGTCCTCATTTGGCCGTTTCTCCTTGTGCTCTTGCCCTCTGTTTCCTCCACCTGAGCAGGCGATTCCTGGAGCAGCAACGCCTGCAGACTGCCACCGACGCTACCACCAACACCAACACCACCGCTGCCAACACCATCACCACCGCTGCCAACACCAACTCCACCGCTGCAGCTCCGGCCACGGAATCTGCAACCCCAGGCAACGACGCTAGGGCTTCTGTAGGGTCGAAACGCGTCTCCAACGCTGCTGCTTCCTCCTCTGCACCGAAACGAAGCCCTTCCTCTGCGTCCCTTGCTGCTGCTGACGCCTCTGCTGCTGCTGCTGCTGCTACTACTTCTGCTGCTGCGGCTGCTGACGCAGCTATCCTCTCAGAGAGAGTGCAGAGTCTACAGAAGAAAGAGGAGCAACAGGAGAAGGAAGAGGAGGAGGAGAAACCGGACCTGCAGGTTCGGTCTGCTACCTCCCCGAATCAGAAACCGGACCTGGTTCCTTCCTCCCACCTCTCTGCTTCGGCTCCTCCCAGCCCTGCTGCCGGACCTGTTGTACCTGCTGCTTCCGAGCCAGTTCTTCCCAGGTCGGTTGCTTCCGAGCCTGCTTCTCCAATCCTGCCCCGGGCGTATTCTGTTGGAGGTGCCACGTCAGTCTTGGTCTCGGGCCAATCATTGCTGGACAAATCCCTTATTGAGAAGAAGGTTCTGGAGCAGCAACCTGAGCCGTTGATCGATACTAGCCCGCTAAATCAGTCGATCTTGAGCGTCCAATTGGCGGAGCTATTCCATTTGGATCTAGCAGCAGCTGCTACAGGCGGTGAGGCTACAGCGTATAATACCGCTACAAATACTACAGATGCTACAGAAGCTGCTGCTGCTGCTGCTGCTGCTGCTGCTGCTGCTGCTGCTGCTACGGATGGCGCTACAGCTGGTGCTGCTACAGCTGGTGCGTGTGAAGGCAGCGGCGTGGGGATGGTGGTGGATAGGAAGAGGAAAGAAGCGCCTACAGATATGGGTCAGCCTGGCGAAAGCGTCGTCAAGAGACTCGTGCGCGATGGGGATGGGAGAGGAGGAGAGGGAGGAGGTAGAGGTGAGGGAGGTGAGGTGGGGGGAAGTAGGGACGGGGTGACAGGTGCGCTGCTGAGTACCTGGAACGAGCTTGGAGCATGTGAGGAGGGGCGAGGAGGAGAAGGGAAGGGTAATAGTGCTATCGAGTGCGCTAATAAGGGGTTTAGTGTGGGTAAGGAGGATGGGACGGGAGGTGGTGTCACTGGTGTGACTAAAGCGAATGGAGAGGGAAGTGGTGGTGGAGTGACAGAACGGAATGAGGAGGATGGTGGCAGTGGAGGGGTGACTAATACGAATGGCGAGGGCGGTAGTGGTGGAGGTGTGACTATAGGCGATATGTTTAAGACTTTGCTGCATGCGAATGCACAGCATGTGGCTGCTGCCATTCTGGATTGGAAGGATCGGGTGTGTGGTTCGGATGACAGGCATGTGCCGAACCTGGCTGCTGCAGTGAAGCTGAGGGATGTGGGGCCGGTAGGTTCGGTGCAGCGTGGTTTGGTGCAGCATGGCTCGGTGCAGCGTGGTTCGGTGCAACATAGTTCGGTGCAACTGTTGGATCGTCCGCAGAATGAACATCAACAACAGCAGCAACAGCAGCAGAAGCAGCAGCAACTGCAGCAGCATCAACAGCAACAGCAGCAGCAGCACAAGCAGCTACAACAACAGCAGCAACAGCAACAGCAGCAACAGCAACAACAGCTGCAGCAACAGCAGCAGCAGCAGTTGGGTCAGTCAACGTGGCTGAGGCAAGAAGAAGCACATCGTCTCCTTCAAACCACCCATCTCAGCGTCACAGCGCAGCAGCACGCGCAGCAAGAGCAGCAGCAAGGGCAGCAGCAGGGGCAGCAGGGGCAGCAGGGGCAGCAGCGGAGGCAGGAGCAGCAGGGGCAGCAGCGGAGGCAGGAGCAGCAGGGGCAGCAGCGGAGGCAGGAGCAGCAGGGGATGCAGCAAGGCAAGCAGGGACAGAAGCAGAGTCCCTCTCTACTGTCTCAACCCTCTGTCACACCTGCTGTCACTGCAGTCACTGCCCCACTTGCTCCCACCTCCCCATCCCTCCTCCCTCCCTCACTCCTACCTCCCTCACTCTTCCCCCCTCCTCTCCACTTCCACAGGCCTCGCTCCCCCTCGGCCCTCTCGCACTCTCGATCGCATGCCACGTCCGCACCTGCCACGCCTGCCCCTGCATTGTCACTGCATGCCATGTCATCGCCTGCCACATCAGCTCCTGCCACGTCAGCTCCTGCCTCTGCTTCCAAAAGCAGCACTGCACTGAGCAGCCTTACCACCTCCACCATTCCTGCTTTCCCTCGTTATAATCACACTTTTCCAACTATCCTGACACCTTATATCACCACGGGAGCAAACCAATCCCCAGACCTCTTACAACAAGTGCTCCCACTCAATTATACAGGCATGGTCGAGGCTAGGTGGCCTGTGAGTAGGTTCGGTAATGCCGAGCCTGATGTCCGAACCGCTCGGTTAAGTTCGGTGTGGGACCCAGCAGCCATGGCAGGTGGACCAGTCACACATGGAAAGCTGGATAGCTCAACTAATCTGGTGAATGCAGCAGGTTCGGGGAATGCCGGAGGCTCGGGAAATGCTGGGGGCTCTGGGAATGCTGGGGGCTCTGGGAACGCAGCAGGTTTGAGGAATACAGGAGGTTCGGAACACGCAGTTGCAGGTTCGGCGAATGCAGTAAGGAGTGAGAGGGAGTGTGGCTCTGCAGGCTCAAATATGACTCCTCCAAACCCCGGGGGTTCCATAGCAGGGAGTCATAATGCAAAAATAGAGACCCATCATCCCATGCAGCAATTGCTGTGGCGGCAACACTTGCAGATGCAGATGGATCGACAGGGGCAGGGGCGGGCAGGGGGAGCGGCACAACTGGAAGCGGCGGAGAAAGCAGGGGCAGCAGCAACAGCAACAGCGTCAGCAGCAGCAACTTCAGCTGCAGCGGCAGTTGACGCACAGGTTATGCAGCAGTGGCAGCAGCAGCAGCAGCAGCAGCAAAAGCTCCCGTCTTTACGGAGGTCCTTTTCTCACTCACTCTCTCACACATCCTCGCCCTCCACACACACTCGCTTCTCCCACAGCCACTCCATCCATCAGGGCACACACACCACTACTCCCTCCCTCACTCCCTCCCTCACTCCCTCCCTCACTCCCTCCCTCACTGCCTCCCTAATCCCCTCCCTCACTCCCTTCACAACCCAGCAATGGCAGCAGACCCGCGGCCCTTTCTACCCTCTCTCCCGCCCCTCCTCCTCCTTCCGCGCCCCACCTCCTCTCCTCCCCTCCCTCCCCCTCACCTCCTCTCATCCCTCATCCAATCACACTCCGCAGAATCAAACTCTGCATAATCACACTCCGTATAGTCATGCTTTGTTCAGTCACTTTCCTCCTATTGGCTCTCCTAAACCTAGCTCGCCCGCCATTGGCTCGCCAGCCGTCGGCTCCTGCGGGCCCCCTCCCATCTCCTCACCCTCCGCCGCTGCTGCCACGTCAGCATCTCAATCCGCCGCCGCCACGTCAGCATCTCAATCCGCCGCTGCCACGTCAGCACCCGTATCCACAGCTGCTGCTGCAAGAGACACGCAAGAAGCTGACGAGTTGTATATTGAGGAGGAGGGCAGAGAGAGGGGTGCGAGACGGGAAGAGCAGGTGAAGGGGGGTGGAGAGAAGGGCACAGCAGATGGGGGTGTGAGTGTGGGGCAGCCACAGGAGCAGGGAGAATTCGAGGTGGGGAAGCATGGGCCAGCCAGGGATGGCGGGAGGGGACAAGTCAGGGACCCAGACGAAGGGGTGATGGTGGGAGTGGTGGGGGGAATGGTGGGGGGTCATCACACGTCCCCCCTTCCGCCGTCTGCTTTGCTCGGTGTGTCAGAGGATGACGTCATTAGCCTGCTGGTTGCTGACTGGGCGGCGGAAGACGCTGACCTGGCAATGCGTGCTGAGCTGGCAGCAGCTGACGTGGAACCACCATTACCACTGCCACCAGCCAGTCACGGTGGAGTGAGGGGGATGCAGCCACAGGAGAGTGGCAGGATGGCACAAAGTGGTATGTTGAACAGTAATAGACCTGCCACCGCCACCACTTCGACTGATCCTGCCCCACCTGCTACGGACCTGACTCCTCTCCCAGCCGGGCAGAACCTCACTGCACCGCACACCATCGCTCATAATGGTCCGTATGAGTGGTCCGCGTATATCCGGCCTGCTCCGTCTGCTCCGGGGCATGTGCGGCTGCCACGTGTACATTCTACTGGGCCTGAAACTGCCACGTCAGGTTGTGATGCTGCCACATCACACCATGGCATGATGACAGGTTACCACCAACATGCCACGTCACACCTTGGGAGGGATTCTAGAAACTTCCGTGGTGCAGGAGCAGCAGGGGGCCTGGGGGAGACAGAAGAGCAGATGACTAACCTGGTAGAGGGATCGATGCTATGGGGGATGACAGGTCAGCTTGCTGACACCATGCCAGGTCAGCATCCTGACATGATGCCAGCTCAGCTTGCTGACACAGCGCCAGCCCAGCACGTGAATGAGGCTTATCAGGAGGGGGGCGGATATGGAATGATGATGCAGCAGCAAGCAGGGGAAGGGGGTGAGGGCGAGAGGGAGGGGGGGAGAGACCAGTGGCCTGACTGGGTACTTAGACACATGTCCTCGTGATTATCAGTGTTCTTGTAACGGGCAGATGTGCTTGTGACTATAGAAGGATGAGTGATTATAAATGGATGATGTGGATATCACATATATACCGTACTATGTTGTGTTGATTATAGTGAATAGATATGATGGTTGAAACAGATGTCAGTGTGATAGTAGTGGATGTGACTGCAGGCCACTTCACAGTGTGCAGCGAAGAGAGAAAAACACAAGGAAGAAACGGTTTGCCATTTGATTGGCCTCAAGCCGTCCCGTGCAATAAACTCGGTACTACCTATGCTGGATCCTTGAGATCTGAGCTCGTCCTACTTCTCTCTTGCCCCTGCCTGAACTGCAGCTGCCGCCGCTGCTGCTGCTGCTGCTCCTGCTGCTGCTGCTGCTGCTCCTGCTGCTGCTGCTGCTCCTGCTGCTGCTGCTGCTCCTGCTGCTGCTGCTGCTCCTGCTGCTGCTGCTGCAGATGCGACAGGGGCAGGGCCAAAGGGGAGGTCACGCAACCCCTATGTGCACACCCCACAGCTCTTCCTGCAATAACCAAGGCTCTACGGCCCTGCTCCCTCCGCTCCCACCATGTACGCCCTGTTGCGCTCGCACTCCCCAATGCTCGCCCAGTGCTGCCTGCTGCTGCTGCTGCTGCTGCTGCTGCTGCTGCTGCTGCTGCTGCTGCTGCTGCTGCTGCTGCTGCTGCTGCTGCTGCTGCTGCTGCTGCTGCTGCTGCTGCTTGCACATTGGGATCCATGATCACCCCTACACACACACCCCGCAGCTCTTCCTGCAGAATCCTATACTCTCTGGCCCTGCTCCCTCGGCTCCCACCATGTACGCCCTGTTGCGCTCGCACTCCCCAATGCTCGCCCAGTGCGCGCAATTCTCGTTGTCGTCCGCACACACAGATGCATCACGGGGCGGCAGGTCGAAGCTCCCCACGTGGATCCACTTGGTGGTGGACCACTTCTCCCCGGCCAGCACGGGGCAGCCCGCGTGGAGGGAGGATCGGTCAAAGGATGTGTCTGGGTGGAGGGAGAAGAAGAGCAGCGCATCTCCCTTTCTGGGCTTGGCTGGGACAGGGATGGGGGGTTGGGAGGGGGGGAGTGGGAGGAGGTGGGAGAGGGAGCGGTGGAGAGGGAGGGGGAGGAATTGGCTCGCATAATAGGGGTTTGGAGCGGGGACGTTGAGCGGGGTTGGGGGAGTTGGGGTTGGAGGAAAAAGGGGGTGTGGGTGGGGGGAATGGAAACATATGAGGCACGCATCAATGGAGCTGTAGTAGAGATGTGTCGAGGTGTGTATAGGTGTGTGGAGGTGTGTAGAGGTGTGTCGAGGGGTGCATAGTACATACCAGCAATGCCCTTCTTCCCACAGTCACTCCACGAGTCATCCTTCACTACAGTGTCCTCCTGTACAAGCACCCAGCAGCAGCATGAAACACACACCATGAAGGGAAGAGAGAAAGAAAAAAGCAGATGTTAGCTTCACTCGTATGTCACTCAGTAGAAGCGAGGAAACACAAACAACCCCTGTCCTCATGTACAAGGTGACTTTTGAGTCGACTCAAGAGGAAACACAAACAACCCCTGTCCTCATGTACAAGATGAATTTTGAGTCGACTCAAGAGGAAACACAACCAACCCCTGTCCTCATGTACAAGGTGACTTTTGAGTCGACTCAAGAGGAAACACAAACAACCCCTGTCCTCATGTACAAGGTGAATTTTGAGTCGACTCAAGAGGAAACACAAACAACCCCTGTCCTCATGTACAAGGTGACTTTTGAGTTGACTCAAGAGGAAACACAAACAACCCCTGTCCTCATGTACAAGGTGACTTTTGAGTTGACTCAAGAGGAAACACAAACAACCCCTGTCCTCATGTACAAGATGAATTTTGAGTCGACTCAAGAGGAAACACAACCAACCCCTGTCCTCATGTACAAGGTGACTTTTGAGTCGACTCAAGAGGAAACACAAACAACCCCTGTCCTCATGTACAAGGTGAATTTTGAGTCGACTCAAGAGGAAACACAAACAACCCCTGTCCTCATGTACAAGGTGACTTTTGAGTTGACTCAAGAGGAAACACAAACAACCCCTGTCCTCATGTACAAGGTGACTTTTGAGTCGACTCAAGAGGAAACACAAACAACCCCTGTCCTCATGTACAAGGTGACTTTTGAGTCGACTCAAGAGGAAACACAAACAACCCCTGTCCTCATGTACAAGGTGACTTTTGAGTCGACTCAAGAGGAAACACAACCAACCCTGTCCTCATGTACAAGGTGACTTTTGAGTCGACTCAAGAGGAAACACAACCAACCCCTGTCCTCATGTACAAGCACCCAGAAGCAGTGGGACTCGGGGGGCCAAGAATTGGGCGTGTTTGCTTGTTTGCTAGTTACTTGCATGCATGTCTGTACTAGTTCTGAGATTTAATACAAGGACCATTTGAGAGAGAGGGGTGCTTCCCCTCATGCCTGCCCACCCATGATACCCACCCAGCCCCCGCCTGTATACCCCACATACCTCGGCTCGGACTCAGGGAAGGCGGTTTCACCGCCCTTCTCCACATTACTGAGGTACATGAGCACCGTGGCGTAGCGAGGGCCCCCTGGGGTGGGTGCCTCCTTCTCATGCCCACCCATAACACCTATCCAGTCCCCGCGTGTACGCCGGACATACCTCAGACTCAGGGAAGGCGGTTTCACCGCCCTTCTCCACATTACTGAGGTACATGAGCACTGTGGCGTAGCGAGGGCCCCCTGGGGTGGGTGCCTTGACAGGGTCGATGTAGTCCCAGTGTGCCCCATACTCCTGCCCGTCCCTGTACCTCAGCACTTGCATCGCCTCCTGGTTCTCTGTGCATGGAAGGGTGGAGATCATACGTAGGGAAGGTGGGAAGGAGGGAGGGAGGGAGGGAGGGAGGGAGGGAGGGAGGGAGGGAGGGAGGGAGGGAGGGAGGGAGGGAGGGAGGGAGGGAGGGAGGGAGGGATGGAGGGAGGGAGTGACAAGTTGGATACTATGAATTTTCAAGAGGTGGCTCAGTTATTTGGGGGGGATATAAAATGTGCAAGTGTGCCAGCAGGGGGGAAGGGCTTACCGATGGGGAGAAAGGTCCAAGCAGCCACGCGCACTTCAATGCGCCGAATGACTGGATTCTGGCACAGCGGGGAGATGGCGGGGAGGTTTCGGGGAGGTGGCGAGGAGATGGAGGTAGGGTGGAGATGGGGTGGAGACACGGTGGAGAAGGGTAGAGGTAGGTTGAAAATGGGTGGAGGTGGGTTGGAGATGGGTGAAGGAATGATTTAAGCAAGAGCCGTGGAGGCAGCAGGGCACTGGCATTGCACAGAATGCGAGCACAGCACACCAGCTAGTCCCTTCAACTACCACTTGGAATGAAGTAAACATAACGGAGGCTTGGATTAAAGACGACGAAGCCTGCTGTTGCTCCTTTTCATGTTCTAAACATGCTGTTGCAGCCTTGTACTCCATTTGATATACTCGATCTGGTATAGAACTTATGTTGGACAATTATTAAGCAAGTTGAGGTGCTGTTTCCGCACCTCGTACTTAACAATGAAGGAGCCATCGCTGGTGCGAATGCTGTCCTGCACGCTTTTCCCGCTATTGCTTAGCACTGTAGACCGCTCCATCCGCGGACGTGACTATAAAGGGGGGTTGATGGATGATGGGGAGATGCGGAGGGTAGTGCGAGGAGGGGGGAGGGGGGAGGGGGGAGGAGGGGGGATAGGGAGGGGGACATGACAGACATTTTGCGTATGAAGGGGATGGACGGAAAGGATGGGAAGGATTAGAATGATGGGAAGGATGGATCATAACAGGTACCTGTGAGATTGTTGGTTGATACTCACATAGTTGACAATGTAGTCACATTCCGCCTCGGATAAGAACTGGGGGAACAGGAACGCCCTGGAAGAATAAGAATGAGGTTACACCGTTTCAGCATCACACGTCAGCATAATCTTGACCAAGGCTCGTACACATCACGTAGCCACAATGATTGCGAATGACAAATTTCGCTACAGACTGAGCGAAAGTAGCGTTGCGAGTTTCGCGAGGCACTACCTAGGCTTCCAGGAAAGCCGTTGAACCTTGCTGACGTCAGGAATATGAACAGGGGGTTCTTCTAACGGCGGAATGTCCACCTCAACATCGCTGCTACACACGTATGACCAGAGTGAACGCAGAATTGAGACACGTGGATAGGTCAGAAAGGACGGAGTATAGGTCGGATAGCACTAAAATTGCGATGAATTGTAATAAGCTTGCGAATCTACGGTCTGGAACGTACGACATGCCGGACTGATTGTCGTCAGTTGCTTCGATAGAGAGTCCGGAAACGGCATTCGCAAGAAGAACGATCATCATAATCACAAGGGCTTGTCGTGAGTTAGCGACAGGGGCCATGGCAAACCGTCGCCGGCGCTGGTCCTGAACCAACGAGTCTCTATGTCAGTGCAGTGACTATGAGCAGGCAGCCTTGCCGCTCTTCTACCAGCCGGCTGTGCTTTACACGCTTCCTTGTTTCGATAGAGCGAGTCTGGTTTTGATGACTGACATAACATGACACAAGTATGGTTCTGGTCAGGACAGGAAGAAACTGAAGCTCGCAAGAAAGGGAAAATTGTGGAAGGACCAGACTTTGAAGGACCAGTCTGTTACAGGACCTGCAAATCCCAAGGAATTTCGCAAGAGGTGCTGTGAGTGGTGTGAAGTGAAGAGTGGGGGTCAAACCCAGGTGTAGCGAAAAAAGCATTTGGTTGGAAGGGTGAATGTGGTTGGACAGCGCATTTCGCGAAATGGGCGATTATTGTCCACCAATGGATCTTGCGAGCTGCTTTCGCCAGCGTCTTGGTTCGTCGCAGACCACGAGGAGAATCTAGTAATCTGGAATTGCTCTCGGCAGGTAACCACCATGGGATTCCATCTCAGCCCTTCCCTGCGATTTCCATAATAATCCCAAGGCTGCTCATTTAGGGCGTGTCCAGCGCGTACATTTACAGCTCATAAAGCCATACAGTTACCACATTTGGAGTTGTAACACTGATTTACAGAATGCGTGGAGACGACCAAATTTTGTGTAGGAGACGGTACGCCAGCTGCACGTACCTCGCGTCGCGTCGTGTGACGCACGTAACTGATGTAGAGGCGTGTCCTCTAGTTGGCAGGAACTAGGAATTGTTCTAAGCAGCAGAGCACACTCTTGGCTTTCCAAGGAGCCGTAGAACACGTAATTCGCCCAAGTATCGGCTGAGATACGGCTTTCGACGTGCTAGGTAGTGCTCTAAGATTGAAGGATAGAAAGTCTCTGGATTTTGTGTCGAGTTGAACTGTGTATAGAAAACTCTGATTTTCAGTATATCATGCATACAAAGCAATCACAATATATAGCTACTCAAAACATCGAGTCGCGCATGTAACATACGAGATGCATCGAGAACATTCGCGTAACAATTCGAAGGGGTGAAATTCGGCACCCGAATTTCACCGAACCGAATTCTTCCTTAGTCTCGATCCTTCTTGTGTTGCCATGTGGCACCAATTGAGTGGGTCTTCCGAAGTCAACCCACACACTTCGTGAAACCTGCAGCTCTCTCAAGCGGTGAGCACCGAAACACATTCGGTGGGTTGGGGGCATATCAATTGCCCCACCACCGTTTGCTTCTAACTCACGCGACCTCCAACAGTAACTGCACGCAGCATGCGCGCGTACTAGGGTACAAAACCGCGTCCAGCCCGCTACAGTAAGTATCCCCCTGTATGGCTGGCACGATTTCGCCAGTGCCGCGCGACACTCGCCGAAACCACCTGCGCTCTGGCCTACAACATTGCACGGCAGACCAAATTCCCAGCCCACCACCAAGTGAAAAATTACCAACCCAGCACAACACGCCGACACAAACAAAGTAAACTCGAATCCTACCCAGCGCATTCGACGGGCAAGCATGCGCAATGACGCTCATGTCTGCCGAAGCGCCCGTCACATACGGCGGGTCTCGCTCTTAATGGCCACGATCATACGGCGACTCGTTCTAAGTCGCGCGCTAACGTGCCCCAAGCAGAAATGCATCGACTTGTTTTTCTCCCTCAACAAATCACTACTTAAACGAGGCACCTCGTGTTGCAATACCCCAGTCTTACAAACTTGATCACACTAGTTGCTGAGTTTACAATCCGTCCTGAATCCACTATCTACCGCCAACTTTCAACATCCTTCGCTATGGAGCACAACAACAACCAGATCGGGACTGAAGAGTCCACTGCACCTGCCCTTCCAACCACTACCGCCCCCCCCTCCCTTGTTAGTGCCGCTGCTGGAAATCTGCAGGTAGCCCAGAGCGACCACAACGCAGGCGACCTCGACCTTTCTCCTGATGGTGGGCCCGTTGTTGATGATTCTGGCGATGCAGGGGTCCCGCTCGTCCGCTCTCCAGCTGTTACTAATCCGAGGGACGATCCCACTAGCCCGCGTGTGCACTGGACGGCCACAGAGATGCTTCAGCTGGTGCAGGCCAGATTCGACCTGGATCCTGACTGGGATCTCATGCGCGGAGTTCAAGGTGCCAACTACTGGGCTGCACTCCACACGCTGGTGCTTGAGCGCCATCCCCGTTTCCGCTTCAGCCGAGGGGCGATCAAAATCAAAATGTTGAGGATCGAGGCGCAGTACAAACAGCTCCGCGACAGGCTGTCTCGCTCTGGCGCCGGTGCAATCCGCTACTTCCCTTCCTGGTACGGACTGATGGAGACAATCCGTGGCAATCGCCCTGGAGTCCAGCCCGTCCACCGTGTGACTGCTGCGATGATAACCACTCCTACTCCCCTACCAGTTCCTACCCCAACAGCCGTGACGCACGTCGGTCCTATTCGTGCAAGGCCTGCTGTTCTAGCATCTACTACCACCACCATCCCAAGTGTGGATGCCACCATCCGTGCTGCAACGACTGGTGGATCGGGACGGAACACGCGCACTCCATCTACGGATGTGAACTCCCCGGTTACGCCAAGCGGGCCTGTTTCACGCACGCCTACCCCACGCACTCCTACTACGGCGGTGGTGACTCCAGTAACCACAACTAATCAGCCCACCGCACCGCCGTCTGGCACTGGTTCGCCATCCACGCCATCACCTTCCGTTCCCACCGCGTCCCCCTCGACCTCCGCGGGTGGGACGGGGACGCCTCCTGCAGGGGGATCACCAACACAGAGCAATGGTCGGTCAACGGCAGGCTTGATTGGTGTTGGCCCGGAGGCTGCAATTGCCACGGTCATGGCGGAAAGCATCGCAAGCGCCATAAACAGTGCTGTGGACCGTGCATGCGACAGGTTTGAGAGCCTTACCCGGTCGTTGGTCGGGTCATGGCCGGGTGAGTCCGAGCCCAGGATGAATGGAGGCCATGGGCCAACCGATCACGACGGAGAGCTGGAGTAAACGCGGCCGTATCAGGCGTGGTGTGGACTGCTTCGGCTGCCGGACCTTCAAGCCACCAACGGTGTCCTTCGCGAGGGGCACCGGCGCGAGGGCGGCTGCTCAGCGTGTTCTCCAGATTGTGTAACACCACGCATGCCCCCATGGTCCGGGGCACCTTGCGGATGTTGGCCTCCATGCGCCCGTCAAGAATCCGCCATTTCCCTTTCAGCCTTCCGTTTGTTTGCTCGACGATCATGCGCTCGCGACTCTGCTGCTTATTCCATGTTGTCTCTTCGTCTGTGAGTAGGTTTGTAGTCCTGTCTACTTTGTAGGGAGTGAATGTGTAGTCTCGTAGTCCGTAAGCTGCATCAGCAACAAGGCAATAGCCATGTAGCTCCCCTCCTTCAATGCGAGCACAAGCTTCACTATTGTTCCACACACGCGCATCATTCACACTCCCAGGCCAGCCCACATCGAAATCCTAGATGTCACCATGAGCATCGACGATAAGCTGAAGAATGACGCTATAAAACCCCTTACGGTTCTGAAAGTCGGCGCGGTGTTCCCCGAATCCGCGTACCTTGATGAATGTCCCATCCAGCGCACCTACAACGCCCGGAATTCCGCCAAGCCTCTGGAATTCACGGGCCATAGCAGGCATGTCATCCAAGTCAGGCCACTTGACCCAATCGGGACCTAACATTTTGAGAACAAAGTCCTCAAACTCGTCACATATGGTAACAGCGGCGCTCCTACTCACTCCAAAGTGCAAACCGCACATGCGATAACTCCATGCATGCGCAAGGCGTGACAGTCCCAGGGCGACACGGAGCTCATGTGTGTAGTTCAACGTTGACTTCCGCGGACGAGCTATGAGCCACTCCTGAACGATGAAATTGAACACGTGTTTCTCGACACGAAACATGGCGATGTACAGGTCGTCTGAGAACTCGTTCAGCAGCGTCTGCCACCTTGCTCGCACACTAGCGCGATCACGAAGGATTCCTTCTTCCCGCATAGCAGCAGCAACAGAATTCACCAGAGCGGGCAGTAGAGATGCGAGCACATTGCCAATAGGGGCGATGACACATGCGACGAGGCCTTGGTGCGCTAAATTAACTATACGAATTGTTCTTGCTGCCATGATGGGCATCGCTGAGAGAGATAGTTGCCAAATCAGAACGCATCGTATTATAGATGCATGTCTGGCCGTTTGCTATTAATTGCGAAGTGAGTTTGGCTGACGGGAGCGCATGGGAGGTATGGAATGCCCTCCTAGGATTTGGGTTGGTTTGATGGGAGAGCATGGGAGGGATGCAATGCCCTCCTTGGAATTTGTGTTGATTTGACGGAGCGCATGGGAGGGCTGGAGTGCCCTCCAGGTGTTTTGTATGTTTGTCGTTTGCGCATGGGAGGGATTGTGTGCCCTCCCAATGTTGTGTGTGTTTCAATGCAGGTCGCATGGGCGGGCTGGAGTGCCCGCCAGGTTGTTTTGGTGTGCGGCTCGCTCGGTCGTGGAAAGTTCGACCGAGCGAAAATGCCAGCCCTGTCATTCACGAGGAAACCAGTTACCTAGGTTTCCAGCTGGTGCAGGCACTGTTGAAGAATGTGTGGGGGGAATTGTGTCCGCGCGCTAGACATTACAGGAGGAATGGACTCTGCTCACGGGGCATTCGTTTTTAGGTACAGTGATACGTTTTGAACCTCCATACGTGTATGGGCACGTAAAACCCCAAAATGTACGCGCTGGACACCCCCTTAGTCATTTTCATTTGTAATGGTCGTCATTAGAACAACCAGGTTCCGCAACATCGCTTCACATCCCACATCTCTCTCTCCTGCTCTTCATCCCGGAGCAGCAATAGCAGAATTCTTTTTTGGCCGGGGTGTCAGTTTTGCGGGGACCGAATTCCTCGTTTCTCTTGGCTTGTATCCCTCGTGCTTGGCTCAGTTCACTTGCCCTATCTCTCACTCCATCTCTGGTCGCTGTCGACCACCGCCAGAAAAAATACCACAATTCGTGGCTCACACCCTTATGCATCTTCCTCTTTTCAAAAGCAAAAAAATGGATTCATGGCGTCAAGTGAGTGTAATGTCCATCTGTGGACCATCCAGGTCGCCTCTGCTCCTGCTAGCGCCGCTCGCGCTCGCGCTTCTGATGCTGCTGGCGGAACCCGCTTCGGGGTTTGAAGCTGACGCTCTTCCAGGCTGGCTCGGTGACACGTAAGCAGCCAACATGTTGCCTTTTTCTTGTCCGCATGTTCTTGTTGTTACCGCCTTAGTGTTTCGTCTTCGTGTTCTAGAAGTGCTGCAACGTCATTCCTACGTTGATCACCCCCCCCTCCTTCTCCTCCTCCTCCCCACCCCACTGCTCCTCCGTTTCTTTCACCCCTTCCCTCCCCTCAGCTATCGCTCCACGCCTGAACCCAAGCCAGCAGCAGCTGAACCTGAACCTGGGTTGAGCGAGCCTCGCGTCGTCCGGCTATCGTGGAAACCAAGGTGAGGTGGAGTATATGCTGCCGTGGACAATGACACGTGATGACGATGACGTGGCACCGTCAATACTAAATGTCCCGATGCAACCCTCCCCACCTGATCTCCCTTTCTTCACTCGTCACACCCACTCCCTCGGCACACCACGCCACCATCTCCATCCCCGAATTCCTTGGTCTGGAAAATGCACCTCCATGTAACCCTCGCCCTCCATTCTCCTCCTCTCTTACCCTCTCCGTTTCTCTCTCGTCCCCCCTCTCTCCATCCCTTAGAGCGTGGATCTACAAGCAGTTCCTGACCCATGAGGAGTGCGATCACATCATTGCACTGGTACGCATGCACGCTCACACCTTGATGCATGCACGCTCACACCTTGATGCATGCACGCTCACACCTTGATGCATGCACGCTCACACCTTGATGCATGGACGCTCACACCTTGATGCATGCACGCTCACACCTTGATGCATGCACGCTCACACCTTGATACATGGACGCTCACACCTTGATACATGCACACCTGAGGGGTGTGACGCTTTGAGTCAACTCAAAGGCCGCCCTCTCTCCCCCTCCTAGAACCACGAGGATTGCGACCACATCATTGCACTAGTACGCATGCACGCTCACATGAGGCGTGCGACCATATGATTGAGATGGTATGCATGCTTGCACACATGAGACGTGCGACCATATGATTGAGATGGTATGCATGCATGCACACATGAGACGTGCGACCATATGATTGAGATGGTATGCATGCATGCACACATGAGACGTGCGACCATATGATTGAGATGGTATGCATGCATGCACACATGAGACGTGCGACCATATGATTGAGATGGTATGCATGCATGCACACATGAGGCGTGCGACCATATGATTGAGATGGTATGCATGCATGCACACATGAGACGTGCGACCATATGATTGAGATGGTATGCATGCATGCACACATGAGACGTGCGACCATATGATTGAGATGGTATGCATGCATGCACACATGCATATATGTACAAGCGCCCTCCTTTCTCCCCTCCTTTCCCCGACATCGCCCCAGGTGCGTCCCAACCTGGTGGACAATGGCACCACAGCGATACACACCATTCCCCTGCTATGCCCCATTGCTGCACCCCCCCATCTCTCTCTCTGCATTGCCGCCTCTCCCCCCCCCCCCCAAATTACCCCAGGCGCGCCCAAACATGACTCGGTGGGAAGTAGTTGCAGACAGTGGCACTTCCGGGATACACGCCATTCTCCTGCACTGCCCCATTGCTGCACTTCCCCATCCCTCCACTGCGTCTCTCCCCCCTCCCCCTTCCAAAAAAAAAAAAAATCCCAGGCGCGTCCCAACATGGCCTGGTCTGAAGTGGTGGCAGACAATGGGACCGCTGAGATAAGTACGACAATGGGCAGGCGGCAATGGCAATTTTCCTGCAACGCCCATTGCCGCCCGCCCCCATTGCCGCACTCCCCCATCCCCGCACTGCGTCCCTCCTTCCCAACTCTACCCCAGGCGCGTCCCAGCATGAGTCGGTCGGAAGTGGTGGCGGACAATGGCACTGCCGAGATAGACTCCACTTCCCTGCACTGCTCCATTGTCGCACTCCCCCATCCCTCCACTGCGTCCCCCCTCCACACCACACCCCCTCCTTCCCCAGGACATTACCCCCGGCACGACCCAACATGGCTCGCTCGAAGTGGTGGCGGAGAATGGGACCGAGAAGACAGACACCGTTCCCCTGCGCTGCCCCATCGCTGCACTTCTCCGTCCCTCCCTTGTGTTGGGCCTCCCACCCCCGCTTTCCCCCAACTCTACCCCAGGCGTGGCCCAACCTGACGCGTTCAGAAGTGGTGGCAGATAATGGCGCCGAAGAGATAGACCCCATTCCCCTACTATGCCCCATTGCCGCACTCCCCCATCCCCCCTTCTCTCCCCACTCCCTTCCCCCCCCCCCCCAACTCTACCCCAGGCGCGGCCCAACATGACGCGCTCGGAGGTGGTGGCAGACAATGGCACCGAAGAGATAGACCCCATTCGCACCAGCTACGGAACTTTTCTGGAAGCTGCCCAGGTCAGTTCCCTTTTTAAACTTCCTCTCCTCCCTATATTTTCTTTCTCCCTCCCTTCTCTCCCCCTCTCCCGCTTTCCTTCTCCCCCTAGCCTCCTCCTCCCCCTCCTTTTCTCCCGCATCCCTTTCCTCTCCCCGTCTCCTCCTTCCCTCTCGCTCTCCCTTCTCTCTCCCCTCTCTTTCTCTCTCTTTCTCCTCCCTCTCTCTCTCCCCATCCCTCTCACCTGCTAGGCGCGCCCCAAAATGGAGAGGTCAACAGTGCTGGCTGACAATGGCTCCAGTGTGGTGGACGACTACAGGTCCAGCTCCGGTTGCTTCCTCGATATTGCTCAGGTTTGTGGCTCTGTAAAAAAAAGTCCGGGAAAAGTCAACGTTTCGCTAGGTGAGGCGAAAGATGAATGGAGCAATCAACAGTGTTGGCTGATAATAGCTCCAGTGTTGTCGATGACTACAGGTCCAGCTCCGGCACCCTCCTCGATATTGCTCAGGTTCGTTGCGCAGTGAGTGGTAACCCTGATGCTCATAGAGAGCTTATCTTGCAGCAGGTGTTTACCCTGAAGCACGGATGGATGCATGCATGTAAAAAAATTGACTGTTTTCTTATGTACTGGAAACAGGGTGGAATGTTCAGTTCAGTCAATTGTTCCTTTTGCGTTGCAACTAGGGTCAATCATTTCACTTCTCCCCAGCTAACGTTCTGAGAATTCCTTCTCATTTTGTCCCTTGCGTTCTGAGAATTCCTTCTCATTTTGTCCCTTGCGTTCTGAGAATTCCTTCTCATTTTGTCCCTTGCATTCTGAGAATTCCTTCTCATTTTGTCCCTTGCGTTCTGAGAATTCCTTCTCATTTTGTCCCTTGCGTTCTGTGAATTCCTTCTCATTTTGTCCCTTGCGTTCTGAGAATTCCTTCTCATTTTGTCCCTTGCGTTCTGAGAATTCCTTCTCATTTTGTCCCTTGCGTTCTGAGAATTCCTTCTCATTTTGTCCCTTGCGTTCTGAGAATTCCTTCTCATTTTGTCCCTTGCGTTCTGAGAATTCCTTTTCAACTCGTGGTGGTATGCTCCTTGCCCCTCTCCTCTGCACGTCCCATCGCATGCCCATCCCAAAGGATGACGTCATCAAGCGCATTGAAGACCGCATTGCTACCTGGACCTTCCTTGCCCCTGGTACGCCTCCCTCCCCACTCGTGCACCCTCCCCCATCTCCTCGTGCACCCTCCCCCATCTCCTCGTGCACCCTCCCCCATCTCCTCGTGCACCCTCCCCCATCTCCTCGTGCACCCTCCCCCATCTCCTCGTGCACCCTCCCCCATCTCCTCGAGCACCCTCCCCCATCTCCTCGTGCACCCACACCCCCACCCCCCCACCCTCGGCCCCTATCCTCCTTCTTCCTCCCCGGCATGCCCAATTCCTTTAAGCCTGATTCCTTTTTCAGGCCTGTACTGATGAAGGCTTGAAAAAGCCGAAACTAGTTTGCAATGTCCCTGATTCTTTAATAAAGATTTGTTTCAAACTGGCTCTCTCCACAATTCTCTAGGCTAGCGCCCAATTCCTTTAAGCCTCACCCTCGGCCCCCACCCTCGGCCCCCACCCTCGGCCCCCACCCTCGGCCCCCACCCTCGGCCCCCATCCTCTTGATTCCTCCCTGGCATGCCCAATTCCTTTAAGCCTGTGCACCTGCAGTGTACCAGAGAACCAGGTATTGATGCAGGTATTGCGGTATGCAGTGAAGTTTTGAGGCGCCTCAAAACTGGAGTCGATGCAGGTGATGCAGTATGCAGTGGGGCAAAATAAAACAGAAACAGGCATCAATGCCACTCACTCTTCCCTGTATCCTCTCACCTCCTCTCCACGGTATACCCCAATAGAGCACCAAGTAGGTGCCATGGTTTCAATACGTGGCAGCAACTCTTAGGGATTGACACCTTGAAAGTAGGTGCCTCCTCTCCGTCCCCTTCCAGAGAACCAGGAGTCGATGCAGGTGCTGCGGTATGCCATGGGGCAGAAGTATGACGCCCAGCACATCTATTTTGGGGATAAGGGGCGGGCATTGACGGCCACTGTTCCCCCACATCCCTGCCCCCCTGTACCCGCCTGTGCATGGCAGAGAACCAGGAGTCGATGCAGGTGCTGCGGTACGCTGTGGGGCAGAAGTACGATGCTCACCACGACTTCTTTGAGTCGACTCAAAGCTCCCCCTCCCTCCTCCACTTGACCCTGTGCATGGCAGAGAACCAGGAGTCGATGCAGGTGCTGCGGTACGCTGTGGGGCAGAAGTACGATGCTCACCACGACTTCTTTGAGTCGACTCAAAGCTCCCCCTCCCTCCTCCACTTGACCCTGTGCATGGCAGAGAACCAGGAGTCGATGCAGGTGCTGCGGTATGCCGTGGGGCAGAAGTACGATGCCCACCACGACTTCTTTGAGGAGGATGAGAAGCAGCAGCAGGGCGGCCACCGCTACGCCACTGTGCTCATGTACCTCACTGATGGGTTCCATGGGGGGGAGACCGTGTTTCCAGACTCTGAGGTGAGAGTGTGTGTGTCTGGGTGTGCGTATGTGTGTGGAGGCATGCTTGTGTGGGTGTAAGTGTGCTTGTGTGGAGGGTTGGGTGTATGTGACTGAAAAGGAGGAGAAGCAGCAGCAGGGCGGCCACCGCTACGCCACTGTGCTCATGTACCTCACTGATGGGTTCCATGGGGGGGAGACCGTGTTTCCAGACTCTGAGGTGAGAGTGTGTGTGTCTGGGTGTGCCTATGTGTGTGGAGGCATGCTTGTGTGGGTGTAAGTGTGCTTGTGTGGAGGGTTGGGTGTATGTGACTGAAAAGGAGGAGAAGCAGCAGCAGGGCGGCCACCGCTACGCCACTGTGCTCATGTACCTCACTGATGGGTTCCATGGGGGGGAGACCGTGTTTCCAGACTCTGAGGTGGGTGCTTGTGTGTGTGTGTGTGTGTGTTAGGATGCCTGTGTTTGTGCGGAAAAGTGAGAAGGGAGTAGGAGAAGAGGCAGCAGGGGGGCCACCGCCGCTATGCCACTTCCCTTGCTGAACCGTTGTTCTCTTCAATGGAGACTCATGTACATGTGCGAGTCATGCCTTGCGTGTAAATGTCATGCCAAGCCAAATCAAGTTATGCCACATTAAGCCACATCATGCCACTTCATGTCATGCCACATCATCCTGCATCGTGCCATGTCACTATGTGTCACACCCCACCCATGCAGAAGGACAAGCGAGAGAAGGACGACACGTGGTCTGACTGTGGCAAGCAGGGTGTTGCAGGTGAGGCGGTGTGTGGGATGAATGGGGGACGACTTTAAAGGGAACACTCCAGCAGCGGATGTTATTAACTGGAGGGTGATTGCCTCTAAGACACTCTCCCCTTTCTTCTCTTTGTTACTAAAAGCTAAAACCCTCTGTCGACTGTGTACAAGCCCATTCCCTCTTATTCCCATGGCCCATCCCTTTCCCAATTCCCCCATCGCCCTCCCTCCCACTCCCTCTTCCCCCCCACCAGACAAGCCAGTGAAGGGCGATGTGCTGCTGCTCTTCTCCCTAAAGCTCTCTCCTTCCCCCGACCCACCCTCACTCATCTCCCCTCTCCCCTTCTCCCACCAGCCAAGCCAGTGAAGGGCGATGCACTGCTTTTCTTTTCCCTGAAACCTTCCGCTGAGCCCGACCTAGCCTCCCTCCACGCGGGCTGCCCCGTGCTGGCCGGGGAGAAGTGGTCCGCCACCAAGTGGATCCACGTGCGCTCCTTCGAGGAAGAAGAGGATGGGGGGGAAGAAGGCGAGAAGGTATCTTCTCAGTCACACCCGCCAGGCGCGTGTGTGGATGAGAGTGAGCATTGTGTTCCATGGGCCAAGGCTGGGGAGTGTGAGAAGAACCCTGGGTATATGCACAGCAGCTGCGCCCGGAGCTGCGGCAAGTGCAGTGTACTTGCTGCTTGACATCTAGAGGTATGTTATCATAAGCGTTGACTCCCCTTAAGTACCGGTACTAAAACCGAAATGCAAAATAGTGAACCCAAACCCAACTTGAAAGAGCGCATGGATGAGTTTGCCGGGCGAAACAAATTTTGGACCAGACTGTTGATTGGTTCCCGCCAAAATTGAGACATTAGGGATAACCTGGGTTCATGCCAAGAACCTGGCACCAACTGAAAGCCAGATGAAGGTTCCTGAGCATTCTTTCGGCTCAGCTCCGGCCAATTTTGTAGGCGGCCCTGGTAATCAAATACAATTTTGTCACACACTTGAAGGCTTCTCTTCGACACAGTTGTCAGTTGAGAACTGGTATACAGAAATCAAAGACTCAGCTAACCAAACCCAGTCAGCCTACCCAACAATTACCTTCTTCAGCCGTTCCATCCCATCCCATGATCCCACACCCTGATCTACCTACATCCATGAAGAAAAAGGGGGAAAATAATCATTGAACGATTTTGAAGCACCGCACAGCAGAGCTGCAGACCAGCCGAGAAACTGGCACCTACTGAAAGCAAAGCAAAGCAGCCTCGGGGACTGAGAGAAGAAGCTGTAGCAAGCAGTCTATTGGGTTTCAACAGGGCCGCGTCTGGGAAATGTATCAGGCTGCTTTTAGCACCCGCAATCTAGCAACTGGAACACGGGACCTGCAAGCCTATCGGTGGTAACAGACGAAAGCTGTGGTAGTAACAAACAGACTGCTTCCCGTCGTCACACCTGCACGCCAATGCCAGCAACCATCAGTGTCGGCTGCCGTCTTGTTAATCGATGCCGACGAATTTGCTAGTTGGCTGTCGCCGAAACCCTAGTCGCGAGAAGCTTCCAGGAGGGGAGTGGGATTCACCTGACGCCGTTCCTCCCGCTGCTGCTATGCATTAACCGTCCCGAACCCGTTTCATGCCGACCAACATGCCCTTGAGCAAAGACACACAACCGCGTGACAGGAGCAATGCCATGAAATATGAGAAAACCGCCGTCCGTTTTATTTCTTCTTGATGCTCCCGCGAACGCCGGGACGCTCCTTGTTATCGAGATCCACGCCCTCGTGCTGATCAGTGATCTTGGCCTCGTCGAACGGCAGCTTCGGATGCCGAGCCTCGTGGTGGATCTGCATGCTCTTCACGTCCGGCGCCGTCGCTTTGCAGACCGGACAGACATACTTCGCGTGACCGCCTTTGTCCAATCCCAGGCGGTCCGCTAGTCCGGCTTTTCCGCCTCCGCGATTGGTCGTCGCCGCGTCGGCCTTCGCGGCGAGCTCCTTCGCCGTGTGCTTTTTCGGCTTCGCCTTTCCCGTCATTCTGTCGCTTGGGGATTACTTGAAAGGAAGACTAAAACGAATACAGAATGAATAAAAAGAAAACTGTCGGTTTGTGTTGGGCCACTGCAAGGCAAATGCGAGATTCGAGAAGTTGAAAGCCGTATTGGGTCGGGCGACTAGAACGTAATGACTGTACAGCCTAGCCCAGCTAGGTTGAGGACGAGAGAATGCGAACCAATGAGAGAAGCGCCGACTAAATCACACAAAAGAAAGTAGGGTGCGACTGCGAGTAAGAAACGAGTTGGCCTTATAGGTTTTGAGGTGAGTTGATAGGAGATGGTGCAACAATGGCGGGCTCTGGGTTTCTCCTCCGTCAAGGGTTCAGTTTTCCACGAAGGGCCTTTACCGCACTCCGCCCTTTCGTACCACGTAATTAGATTTTCGTACCAAGGGAAAACTCACAGAACCATTGAGGGTCGTCCCTGTTTCTCTGTTGTGGCCGTTCAATTTGGCTTATGTGGAGGCACCGTCAATATATGACGGAGGCACCAGCGTGCGGGTTGGGGGTGGGCTGCGGAGCAGGCAAGCTACAGCGAAGATCGTGAAACAAAGTTACCCGTTTTCGTTATGTAGCTGCAGTGAAAATTGTGGTGAGGTGATATACAAATTTGAAGAATTCCTGATTTATGAGAAGGGACGAGAAAGATTTGCTAAGGTACTATACGGTGATGTACGGTAATTCCTTTTCCTCCATTGCACGACTCGTCCCTCTCCTCACACCACATGCTCTCCGCATTCTACGGCCCCGTTACTTAGACTGCTGCCGTGGTTTTTCAAAATACTCGTCGGCATGTCTGACTCATCAGTGTCTAGAGAGAGCGAAATGGAGTAGCGGGAGCGCTTCTCAACGAGGACAGTCGATTCTCAATCATCTGTAAAATAGGATTTAGTATCTTTCTGTCGGGACGGGACCCATAGTAGACTTAGTGCATTTAGTCCACTGCATTTTGCAGTGGGTTACCCTGACACCAACTTCTTCCCTCAATCGGTCGCTTCAAGTCTGTACATTTTGACTGACATTCAGGGCGTCGTGCTTTGTCATCTCCCTGTATTTTATTTTAGTCCGTCCTCGCTCATAACCGCTTCCCACCACGCGAGAATCTCTTCATTCGAACGAGTTGCTTGCTTTTCAAATCCAGAATAGCTCTCCCTCGCTTTCTAGCCTGTATATGCCCTCCTTCTCTTCTGTCACGTAGCTACTTCATCTGTTCTCGCTGCTCTCGTTGCTCTCGCCGCCGGCTCATCCCGTGCTCGTCGCCGGTACTTTCAAGGCGACTCGACGCGCGTTTCACGCTCATTCGCTTCGTATTCGTCCTCGCCGCCACATCCGACTCGCTGCTGCTAGGTTCAGTCCGCCTCGCCTGCTAGGTTCATCCTTGGAGACGTCACTAAGCTTTTAAATCCTCTCAAAAGTCGTCTCGCCGCCACATCCGACTCGCTGCTGCTAGATTCACTCCCTGTCGCACCTTCCAGGCTCACTTTCTCCTCCGCTCCGCGCCGCGATGGACGCGTGTGCGGACAGCGGTCCGGCGAAGCGCGCGGAGATATACACGTACGAGGCGCCGTGGCCCGTCTACAGCATGAACTGGAGCGTGCGTCCCGACAAAAATTTCCGCCTCGCCGTCGGAAGCTTCATAGAAGATTACCGGAATAAGGTAAGGCGGACGGCTAAGGAGTTGCACAGGTGAGCGTGTTGCACAAAATCTCGGACTGAGGTAGTTTTTTTTATTTCTATCTTTGCTCCACTACGACGTTTCGCATTGACCTAACTCTTTCCGTCTCTCCCCTCCCCCTCCCCCTCTCCTCCCCATCTTCCTCCCCCTCCCCCTTCCCCCTTACTCGTTCCCCCTCTTGTAGGTGGAGATAGTCCAGCTAGACGACAACACAGGCGAGCTGAGGAGCGACCCGCGCCTGACGTTCGACCACCCGTACCCGCCCACCAAGCTCATGTTCGTCCCGGGCCGCGACGCTGCCCGCCCGGACCTGCTCGCCACGTCCGGCGACTTCCTGCGGATTTGGCAGGTGAGGGAAGGGGGAGGGGAGGGGCGAAAAAGAGCGTGGTGGGGGGAGATGGGGGGAGGTGGGGGGAGGTGCGGGGAGCCCGGGAGGGGGGGAAAGAGGATGCATGCACAGTGTGCTCAGCAACGGTCCTGATTGAGACTGCGCTGCCCTCTCACTCATGTACCCCTGTGTGTTTCTGTTCATCCTTCCCCATCACATCACAGACGACGGGGTGCGCATGCGCAGCGTGCTCAACAACAGCAATGTGGCAGTGTGTGCCCCGCTTCAGGCACTGTATGATGCTGGTCCTCCTCTCTCTGCAGATCACCAATGACGGCGTGCGCATGCGCAGTGTACTCAACAACAACAAGCTTAACTGTCTCTCTGTGCCCCGCTCTCATGTGCTGTGTGTATTCTGTTCCTCCTCCCTCTTCTCTCTTCAGATCACAGACGACGGCGTGCGCATGCGCAGCGTGCTCAACAACAACAAGAACAGCGAGTTCTGTGCGCCGCTCACCTCCTTCGACTGGAACGAGTCCGAACCAAGGAGGCTCGGGACGTCCAGGTACGGAAAAGAAATCAAGTTTGTTGTGTTGTGGATTGCGTTTCCACCCCAGTGCTGCCCTCTTTTGTTTCCAATATCAAAATTTTCCTCTGCGCCCGAAACTTCCTTTTCCCGCCTGTCCCCCACCCTTTTCCCCCACCCAGCATTGACACGGCGCGCGTGAACCATGTGGGAAATGGAGAAGGAGGTGGTGGATTTTTGAGGCGCCTCAAAAAGAGGTCACCTTAGGCGACGGTTGCATTGCATGCCATGCCGTTAACCCAGTCTCTTCTCCCCCTCACCCCGTCCCTTCTCGCCTTCCCCCCACCAGCATCAACACGACGTGCACCATATGGGACATGGAGAAGGAGGTGGTGGACACACAGCTCATTGCTGCTGGCAAGGATTACATGCCGTTCACCCAGTCTCTTCTACCCTCTCCTCCCTCCTCCCCTCCCACCCTGCCCTCACAGCATCGACACCACGTGCACCATATGGGACATGGAGAAGGAGGTGGTGGACACACAGCTCATTGCTCACGACAAGGAGGTCTACGATATCGCCTGGGGGGGAGTTGGCCTCTTCGCCTCCGTCTCAGGTGAAAATGCAGATAGCTTATTTGTGCTGTTGCAAGTACCCCCAGCCCATGCTCATTTGTACCTGTCTCTGTGTTTTTCTGACCCCTTCTCTCCCCCTCATGGTCTCTCTCCTTCTGTCCCTCAACCAGCTGACGGGTCAGTGAGGGTGTTTGATCTGCGGGACAAGGAGCACAGCACCATAATCTACGAGAGCCCCCAGCCCCATGATCGTTTATGCATATCTGTACCCTTCGCCCCTCTCTTCCTCCCTCTCCCTCTCCAGCTGACGGGTCAGTGAGGGTGTTTGATCTGCGGGACAAGGAGCACAGCACCATCATCTACGAGAGCCCCCAGCCAGAGACACCTCTGCTGCGCCTGGGGTGGAACAAGCAGGACCCGCGCTACATGGCAACCATTCTCATGGACTCGCCCAAAGTGGTCATCCTCGATATAAGATTCCCCACTTTGCCAGTGGCGGAGCTACAGGTGAGATGCCTCGCTACCACCACTTGGTCCTGCTCTGTTACTCTCATTTTCTGGTTAGCCCTGGTTAGCAATTACCCCCTCTGCTATCGCAACCAGATGGCCAGACCCTTTCCCCGCCACAGGTCTACCATCTTTCACCACAAGCTGATCTTTTCCAGTTGCACTAGACCCACCAATTTGTTTTCATTTTCTCCCCCTTTCCCTCCCTTTCCTCCCATATGCCGATCTCCTTGCTTTTCGCATCAACAGCGCCATCAGGCATGTGTGAATGCAATTGCATGGGCACCACACAGTTCATGCCACATCTGTACAGCAGGAGATGACTCCCAAGCTCTGATCTGGGACCTGTCCACCATGGCCCAGCCTGTGGAAGGAGGGTTGGACCCCATTTTGGCCTACACTGCTGGTGCAGAGATTAATCAGCTACAGTGGTCATCTCTGCAGTCAGATTGGGTTGCCATAGCCTACGCAACAAAATTGCAGATCCTGAGAGTGTAACGCGGTGCAATGAGACTAAATGTTATCTGCGCTTAGTATATTGAAAGTGTAGATTGTGGGCAAATGGAAGTGTAGGTGCGGTTTGGTGAGCTGCTGGATCCGTGAGTTGGCAGAACAGGCAGAACAAAGAAAGAGGGACCAAGTGAAACGTTCTGAAAGCCTATACCATACAGACGCTTGCATTACAACATGCCTAAGCTTCATCGATAAGACTACAGCGATGGGTCAGTAAGGGAGCCAGAATATACAGAAGTCCCTGTGTGTGCTCCACACGAGCAGCTTTATGGTTTAACTACCCTGCACACACAAGGAAAAAAAAACAATTAATCAACGAGCACTAAGGAAAACAGAAAATATGCAGACATAGGGGAGGGACATACCGGTATTGTAGTGGCAGCAGATAGAATAATCGCTGCTGCCAGGACTCAGGCATTAAACTTCACGTTAACAGCAGACTGCTCGCTCAACAAGCTGAGCGGCAGGCTCCTCTAGAGTCTGAGTTCTCTTCTCCTTAGCCAGGCTTACAAAAAAATCGGACATCACGTGCTCGTAACCGGGCATCTTTGCAAAGCCTGGAAAATAGTTGATGTCGACAATGTAAAACCGTCTGCTGCAGTTCCTGTCCCGAATCAGATCAAAGTTAAACAACCTCAGACCAAGGTTCTTTCTCAGTCTGGAAGAAATCGATATCATCAAATCCGCTGGCGGTAGCTCCACATGTGAAAGGCTTGCATCAGCTACCTCTCCTCCTTTCCTTCCCAAACCGGGGAGATTGGAAACCTGACAAAATGATCTTAATCCATCAGGGTTTGCAAGGTCTTGCGGTTGAGGATCTGCGGAAACGCAGAAACAAAAAAAAAGAGTGAGCACCCTCGAAACGAAACATAACAAAACAAACGGAAAAACGCAGCTATTAAGAAGGAAGAGGAGCGTATAGCAAATATTAGGAAAAAGAAACTCGACAAACTCAATCACATGTGTCACTATACCAGGCAATGACTTCCGTCGAAGACACTTCACTTGATTCCCCACGACGTAGACTTTAAAAATCACACCACCGTGATTGACAAACTTTTGAAGAACGAATGGTGGTAAGAGCTTCTTCAATCCTTCCTCGTTGTACACAAGCCACATGAGATGCGACTTAGGCGTTCCGTCAACTAGCAGTGGTTTCGCGATGACAGGAAACGACAGGCCGGAGGTCGCAAAGCTTTCGGTGACTGACTGCTTCTCATGCACAACAATTTGTTTAGGGATCCCGACGACGCATCCACACTCGTATTGCAATTTGTCGTCGACAGCCTGAAGCATGGAAATACGATTGTATAACCGCGCGATGGCTTCTGGTGGGTCAATGACAAGCACATCTGGTCTGCTCAGTTGATACTCCTCCAACTCCTCATACCACTGTTGCGATGGAATCTTGTGAAGAATGGCGTCAAAAGGTCCTTGCTCTGCTAGCGGTTTCGACAGATCTATTTTTACCAGCTCGATACCTTTCCTAATAGACTCCCTCTGAAGCTTCTCCTGCAAAAAGCTGTTGATTTTCTTCTGCACCAGAGCGTATCCTATCCGAAACCTAGCAGGCGAGCCGGACCTTTCCTCCATCAACAGCTCCACAACACAGGCTCTACTTGGGTGCATGAAAGGCAAGAGGGAAAAAGAAATGTGCGAAACCCTGGGGGAAGTAATCCTGCTCAAACCTTGGTCGTCCTTCTTATACTACCTGCCTGCCTGCTGTCTGTTCGGTGACGGAAAAACTTGCTGGCTGGTGTACCAGACTGTTGAAACACTTCCGCCGATAGTATCACCAATTGCAGACTGTGAGTGGACGAGAGTGATAGTCGACAAATTTCAGGGGATACGAAAAGTAAGAATAATTTCAGGACAAGGGATCGAGATAGGCGCTAAGAATAAACTTCAGTTTTCTTGTATCGAACGAAATCGAGTTTCGCATGGATGGCAAGTGCTCACCATAGCTGACGTGGCAGCTCCTGTCACCGCGTAATGACAACTAATGAAATTTCATCGACGGTTAAGAATGATCAAACATCCCCCACGACCCAGCATAAATGTCCACCTGGCAGGATCCCCCTTGCCCAACGAACTTGGGCAAGACGCATCCAACATTTTCAGAGAATCGGCGGGCTGAAATCGACGATGTTCGCTTGTCCCACCAACTTCGTTCGCTTGTCGAATATTCCAACGAATCACGTTCGCCGGCCCAAACCAACATCCTGGAGGGGCGAATCGTGCAAACTAGGGGATACTCGACCAGAAAATGCCTGTTTTGTTCCAGCCCAATTCCACTTCCATCCCCGATTGTAACCTGGGATTATGCGTGCAGAAACTGCTAGCATAAATGGTATTTTTATATAATAACACAACACTCAATGCATCCTGTGCTCCAATCTGAACCCTTGGTTTGGTATATTCAGTAGTTACCTCAATTTTGGTGGTGAAATATAGCAGCAAAATGTGGTGGAATATGTACAATTGAACATCTCCATGTTCGGCAGCTTAGGAATCACAGCTCCGGTCGCGAGAGGTCTGCGAGCTGCTGCAGCTGGAAACCCTTGGTCTGCTCCTTCAACTGCAGAGGGTGAAGACAAGGGAGAAGAAACAAGCTCACGCGGCAAATTCGACACGAAGCAGAACATGTAAGGTGCATGCGATTTGCTGCTGCTAAAGCTGACTGTGATTGGCTCGAGCACAACCCTGATAACAACTCACAGATGCATCAGCAAGGAGGTCACTGTTGGCACATGCAGCATCGGGAACCACCTTGGTTGATGTGAGACGGTCAGCTATGGATGATACGAGGCACTATACCAGCACGCCACCCCTTGATAGACACTCGCAGCGGCATCAGCAAGACGGTCGCTGCTGGCACATGCAGCATCGAGAACCGCCTTGGTAGTGGTGAGATGATCGGCTATGGATGAGACAAGGCACTATACCAGCAGCCCACCCCAGTTGATAGACACTCACAGCGGCATCAGCAAGGCGGTCACTGTTGGCACATGCAGCATCAAGAACCACCTTGGTAGTGGTGAGATGATCGGCTATGGATGAGACAAGGCACTATACCAGCAGCCCACCCCAGTTGATAGACACTCACAGCGGCATCAGCAAGGCGGTCACTGTTGCCACATGCAGCATCGAGAGCCGCCTTGGTAGCGGTGAGATGATCGGCTATGGATGAGACAAGGCACGCCACCCCAGGCACCTAATGGCGTGGGAGGGGGAGGAGCGAGCGGGGAAGCAGGCGAGGGAGGGGATAGAGGGCAAGGAGCAGCACTGGGCGTGCAGCAACACGTGGCAAGTGCGATAATCAGCCATGGATGTTAGAGGCAAAAATAATCCAGGCAGGGTATCCCAGGCAGGGTATCCCAGGCAGTTAACCGGGGGAAATGACCTCTGAAAAATGGCGCACGCTGCACGGGAAACGACTCATAAGAAACCAGTGGAGAGCGATTAATCGGATGTACGGCATGGTACCTGGTAGAGTTCGTCAGCAAGGTGACTTTTGAGTCGATTCAAGAGTCAACTATTGATGGGATGTACGGCACGGTACCTGGTAGAGGTCGTCAGCACAGGGCTGCATGGCTGTGAGCAGTTCGTGCAGGCCGTCTAACTGCTCCTTGAGCCGCGCTGCATTCACCTGTGATGTGCTGTGCAACACGGCATACAGGACATGGGGTATGACACATCGAACATGGGGTATGGGGCCTGCAATTACAGGGCTGCATGGCTGTGAGCAGTTCGTGCAGGCCGTCTAACTGCTCCTTGAGCCGCGCCGCATTCACCTGTGATGTGCGATGCGTTTATCTGGGATGTGAGATGTGTGATGTGTGTTGTGTGTTGTGTGATTAGGAATGTGTGATACATGATGTGGGACATGCACGCAACTCACCATGCTGGAGGGGTGGATGGGCAGTTTCACAAGCGAGTCAGACAGCGCCTGAATGATGCTCCTTAGCGCCAGCCGGTGGTGCTCGCGCTGCTGCTGCTGCTGCTGCTGCAGCAAAGAACCGTGGTCTCACAAGCTACCATCCACCACTGACACTGACTCACCGTGCTGGAGGGGTGGGTGGGCAGTTTCACCAGCGAATCCGACAGCGCTTGAATGATGCTCCTTAGAGCCAGCCGGTGGTCCCTGCGCTGCTGCTCCTCCTGCTGCAGCAGCGACCGCACGCCCTCCTCACTGAGAAATTGTTGCGCCCGCTGGTGCATCTGCCTCCGCTGCTGCTGCCCCTGCTGCTCAGACAGCCGCCTCTGGAGGTGAGAACAGTAGCTTGCTGCTGCTGCTAGGGCCGCCTGGAGGGGCGGGAGGGGTGGGGAGGGGTGGGGGGAAGAGGGGAGAGGCGAGGGGAATGGGGAAGAGGGAGAAGGGGGGGGGAGAAGGGAGAGGGGGGGACGGAGCGGGAGAAATGAGTTCTGGTAAGATGATGCTGCTGCCGCAGCAGAGGCCCCACGCCCTCCTCAATCAGCAGCTGCCGCACCCGCTGGTGCATCTGCCTCCGCTGCTGCTGCCCCTGCTGCTCAGACAGCCACCTCTGGAGGTGTGAGCAGTAGCTTGCTGCCGCTGCTAGGGCCGCCTGGAGGAGTGGGGAAGGGTGGGGAGGGGTGGGGGGAAGAGGGGAGAGGCAAGGGGATTGGGGAAGAGGGAGAGGTGGGGGGGAGAGAAGGGAGAGGGGAGGAGGGAGTGGGGAGAGGGGAGGAGGGAGTGGGGAGAGGGGAGGAGGGAGTGGGGAGAATGCGTTCTGGTAAGACGATGCTGCTGCTGCTGCTGCTGTAGCAGCGGCCCCACGCCTTCCTCATTTAGCAGCCGCTGCGCTCGATGGTGGATCTGCCTCCGCTGCTGCTGCCCCTGCTGCTCGCACCGCTGCCGCTGCAGGCGTGAACAGTAGCTTGCTGCTGCTGCCAGGACCAGATGGGGGTGCGGGGAGAGGGGAGGGGGGAGAGGGGAGGGTGGAAGGGGGGAGGAGAAGGGGGGGTTCATTTTACTTTCTTCCTACCCCTCAGGATCAAGCACCTCCCTTACTCTGCCCGTCAATTACTAATCTTCCCCCCCTACCTCCCCTGCACTCACTGTGCTTTTCCTGTTTCTCTCCTCCTCCTTATTCTGCGGAATCAGCATCACCTGCACCTCCTGACTCTTCTGTTATGAACCGTTATGAACCGGCACAGAAGACTTCCTACCCCCCAATCATCATGCTCTGCCTGTGCATCTCCTCCCTCCTCTCCCCACACTCACCATGTTCTGCCCGTTCCTCTCCTCCGCTGCTTCTTCTTGCAGCACCAGCATCGCCTGCACCTGCAACTCCCTGTTCCGTTTTGAGTAGCCTCACAACATTCCTCCATCCCTCCCACGCACTCACCATGTTCTCTCGGTTCCTCTCCTCAGCGGCCTCTTCTTGCAGCACCAGCATCGCCTGCACCTGCAACTCCCTGTTCCGTTTTGAGTAGCCTCACAACATTCCTCCATCCCTCCCACGCACTCACCATGTTCTCTCGGTTCCTCTCCTCAGCAGCCTCTTCTTGCAGCACCAGCATCGCCTGCACCTGCAACTCCCTGTTCCTCACAATTGCTGCTTGATTCGACCACGGGAGGCCCGACAGCTCTTCCAGTACTGCTGCCACTGCCGGCACCATCCCCTCCTCCTCGCCGCTCTCGCCCCTCTCACCCCTTTCACTACTTTCCGAACCCACAGAGCCCGAGGCTACCAGATCCAGATCCCCATGGCTGTGCACCGAGCCTGCGTTGCTGTGCACCGAGCCTACGTCGCTGTACACCGAGCCTGTGTTGCTAAGTGCCAAGACTGCATTGCAGTGTGCCGAGCCTGTGTGGCTCCGTGCCGAGCCTTCTGTCCTACTAAGATCGAGCCCAGCTGTCTCTGGTGCTAATGCAGGCTGGCTTGACTCATTCTCTCTATGCGCAATCCTGCTGCTGTTGCCATTGCTGCTATTGTTGCCCTGCCTGCTGCTGCTGCCACTGCTGATGCTCCTGCCACTGCCAACACTGTTACTCCAATCCAATTCCGCACCATCCGAATTCGCTGAAACAAATGAAGCGCCAGCAGTAGCACCAACATCACCACGGCGAGAAGCATCTTGCATATCGGGAGCAGCACCAGCAACATCAGCAGCAAAACCACCACCACCACCAGCTGCTCCAACTGCTCCCGCTGCTTCTAGCAACGCAGCAAAACCACTGCCGTCACTACTCACAGAGCATCTCGCACTTTCCTCCTGGTCCCCCTCCGCCTGCTCCCCTTCCGTCTGCTTCCCCTCCGTCTGCTCCCCCTCCGTCTGCTCCCCCTCCGCCTGCTCCCCCTCCGCCTGCTCCCCCTCCGCCTGCTCCCCCTCCGCCTGCTCCCCCTCCGCCTGCTCCCTCTCCTTGTGCTCGCCAGCCACATGAGCCAGTTGCAGCGCCAACATCCCACCAGCTACAGTAGCCTCGTCCGGTTCTCCCAGGGCAGCGCTGGTCTCTTCTCCCTCCTCGCCCCTGTCACCGCTGATTGCCCCGCCCTCCTCCCCCTGGTCAGTGATAGTTGCCCCTTCCTCCTCGCCCCTGTCATAGCTGGTAGTAGCCCCTTCCGCCCCTTGCGCGTCCCCTTCCCTCTCTCCTACCGACACATCCTCTCCACCTGCTGTTCCTGCCACATCAGCATCCCGCGCTGCTGACACGGCGGCCGTCCCTTCTGCCACCTCACCACCTTCCAGAGCCTCGCCTGTCGGCACAAGAGTCACGTTTCGGTTCTCAGGGTTAACTCCCCTACCACCTCCCCCACCACCTCCCCTACCACCTGCTCTCTCCCCTCCTCCGTCTCCTCGTCCCCCCACCACCATCGCCACTCTCCCCTCCCTCCCGCCAGTACCCATTCCCCCTTCCCCCCTTCCAGTCATTGGAGTCTGGAAAAGGCGTCCCTTGATCCCTCCTCCACCTCTACCATGAGGAGTCTGGTACTGCGCCGCTGCATTCCCCCCTCGCCCTCTCCCCATGGGAGTTTGATATTGAGGCCCTTCAAATCTCCCCCTCCCCGCTGCCTGCGAAACGCCTTTCGCCGCACTGGGGGCCGCGCGGACACCTGCTCCGCCCGCTCCGCCTGCTCCGCCAGCCCCGGATGCGCCTCTTCCGCCAGCGCTGGTTCTGCTCGCGAGCCCCGTGGTAGATCCGCCGCCTCTGCTGGCTCCCGCGCGGGATCCCGCGGAGGCTTGCGCGGGGGTGAGGCTCGCGCGGGGAGTTGCGGAAACTCGGCCTGTAACGCTGCTGGCGCCGCCTCTGACGGCGCTTTTCGCGGCGGTTGATGGCGCGTGCATTGATGAGAGGCGCGTACCGGGAGTGGGAATCATGGAGCCTTCGCGACGGGAGGCTGAGGACTGAGCGGGTGTTTGCATGAAACGAGATTGGACTGTAACGAGAACGGAAAAATGCGGGAGAAAATGAAGAGAAGGGAAAAGTCATGAGTGTGCGTCATACTGAGACTCGAGTGTAAAATCTTAGATTCACGAATGCCTGTGTCCAGTTCATGTGAAGCGAAACACGAAGTCATTTTTGACTCAAGTCAAGGGTCAATGCAGGTAAAAGGAGGGAATTTGTCACGACGCTCTTGCCTTTCAATATCGCGAAAAAAAAAAAGACTTGTCTACATGAGCGCGTTCGCATTTTACCTTGAATTCCTGTCGCCTTCTTAGGAGCAGGTTGCTTGAACTCAGAGCTCGCATCGGTCGGCTGACCGGGAGGCGGATCCATGGCAGGAGAAGAAACCGGAACGAGAAACCGAGAAGAGGAAACCGTCGAAGTTAGACGTTTCCAGCGAAGCGCGCGAGAAATTCGTCGTCGCAGGGCCGTGAGTAATGGTCTAGAATCTAGATGACGCAGCTCCAGACTGACGAAACGATGATGGAAAAATACAGTATGTTCGAGTGGTGATGACGATGATGGATGGTGTGGTTGGGGTGGGGACAGGCAGGCTGTATGATCTCGAGGTCAGACTTTCCCGCCAAAACTCGAACTTCAAAATTGGGGTGGTCAAAGCGGCCGACGATTCGAAGGGGACATTCTCCAGGCCAGAATATATGCGTTTGCACCCCGAACAACAGCAAAGAGTGTACTAATAAACTGGCCACTGAAGTACGACATTGCTAAGATTTAGATTAGTAAGATCAACCATTTCCTAAACATTTCCATGTTAGTTCAGGCAAAAAAAAAAACGCTTTCTGCTGCTCACGCCATGATATATGGCATGAGATGCCTAAGCTAGAATGCACTCGCCAGTGCTATTGCCACAATTTCACACATTTGTCATGGCTCGCAGACGCAACGAGCCCACGCGCCTGCGAATGCGCAAGTGCAGCGATAAGCCCGTCATGTGCCCCTTGCACAATCATGCTCTTGTTCTCCACCATATTCCATAGCTCCAACGACTGAAAATGGGGAAGAAGGGGAGGAAAGGGGTGTTTGAAAGGAACGGTTAGGCGGAGTTGCTAGGGGAAATGCATGAATCAGCCAGGCCTCCCTTTCATGATCATGCTTTTGTTCCGACGGCGAACAGGTAGGGGAGCGGGGAGAAATAAGGGGGGGAGGGAAAGGGGGGGAAGGGGGGAGAAGGAGGAGGAGGGGGGAGTGAGGGAGAAGGTGGGAGGGAGGGAGGGGGGAGGACCGGGAGGGTTGATGGAGGAGGTGAGGTGGGGGTTCTGTGGTTGGGCCTGCATTCGCTGGGCCTTACTTGCACTATCATGCTCTAAACCAAGACCAGCCCAGCACTATTCTCAAACCCCCAAACACGCACACACCCCCACACGACGCCCCACCCCCCCCCCCCCCTCTTCTACCCTTCCCCCCCCAACCGACCTGGTAGCAGCCGATGACGAGCAGCGAGGGGTATTGTACTTGGTGTGGAAGGTGCAGAAATACCCAGTGGAAAAAGACCCGTGTGCTGCCAGCCACACACAGGCCCCACATACCCCTTTCTCTCCCCACAAAACACCCATACCTCACATGCACACACCCAGAGAAATACACACACATGCACACACGCATGCACAAACACCCCACCGACACAAGCCCCTCACTCCCCACTCCCCCCCGGTCAACTGACCTGGTAGCAGTCGATGACGAGCAGCGAGGGGTACCGTACTTGGTGTGGAAGGTGCAGGAGTGGAATTTGTTGCCGCTTCTGACCAGCTCGTGCACACACCCACATGCACACGCACATCCACACTCGCACACGCACATCCACACTCGCACATGCACATCCACACTCGCACATGCACATACTCACGCACACACGCGCACAGCGCGCGCGCACACACACACACACACCATACACAGCCCAAACTCAGTTCCCCTTCCCCCCCAAAAAAAACTTACTTGGTAGCAGCCGATGACGAGCAGCGAGGGGTACTTGGGGTGGAAGGTGCACGAGTGGAACTTGTTGCCGCTGCTGACCAGCTCGTGCACACACTCGCCCCCGTTGCCCGGGCCCAGCGCATACACGCGCACTGCATCCTCTGAGACAGAAGCGATGAACTCTCCCGTAGCGTCCCAGCAGACTGAATGGACTGGCTTGCTGTGCCGTTGCTGGTGGTGGGCGAGACACGGGGCAAATGGAGGGGAAAATGGGCAAGAGAAAGGCAATGTGAGCTGACCAGCTCGTGCACGCACTCGCCCCCATTTCCCGAGCCCAACGCGTACACTCGCACCACATTCTCTGAGACGGAGGCTATGAACTCGCCTATGGCGTCCCAGCAGACCGAGTGCACTGGTTTGCTGTGCCGTTGCTGGTGGTGCGAGGGGGGTTGGGGAAGAGGGAAAAGAGGTTGAAGGAGGGGCGGAAGGGAGGTTGGGAAGGAGGAGATATGGAGGGCAAGGGGGAGCAAGCATCTCCAACTGAAAAGAAAGGAAAAGGGCAACAGAACAATCCTTGTGTGTGGGGGGGAAGGAGGAGGGGGGGGGGGGGAGGGTTTGCTTCTTACCTCGAGCGTGCGCAGGCAGGCCTCTGTCTCGACGTCAAATATCGAGACTACCGACTCAGCCGCTGCTGCCAGTAGTCGCCCCATGCGCGGCTGAAAGCGCACCTGCGTGGTGGCACCCTGGTGGTGTGGGGTGGGGAGGGGAGGGGAGAGGAAGAGGGGAGGGGCGGACAGGCATGTGAACATGCAATGAGCCTCCACTACTGCCCGCAGTCGCCCCGTGCGCGGCTGAAAGCGCACCTGCGTGGTGGCACCCTGGTGGTGTGGGGGAAGAGGATGGGGGGGGGAGAGGGGAGGTGGATGAGGAGGTGGAGATTAGGGGGTAGGGGGAGTGGGGAGAGGAAGAGGGGAGGGGCGGACAGGCATGTGAACATGCAATAAGCCGCCGCTGCTGCCCCCAGTCGCCCCATGCACGGCTGAAAGGGTACCTGTGCGGTGTAGTTCTGGTGAAGGAACAGGAGACGCAGTCTCAAGAGTCGTTTTTTGAGTCTGACTCAAGAATCCAATAGCAGTTCGTCCGAGTCAACACAAGAGCAGTTGATCCAAAACTGCACCTCACCTTGAATGAAATGAACCCTCTACTTGGAAAAGTGCCTCACCTTGAATGAAATGAACCCTCTACTTGGAAAAGCGCCTCACCTTGAATGAAATGAACCCTCTACTTGGAAAAGCGCCTCACCTTGAACACCCGGGTGCACATCTCCTGATTGACACTCCAGTAGCGAATCTCCCCGTCAGCGTCGCAGGAGCAGAGCAGGTCCTCATCCTCGGGGTGGAAGTCCAACGAGACCACAGATGTCATGTGACCCGCTAGCGTGCGCAGAGGGAAGGCCGGCTGCAGCAATGGCGGAAGGGGGGTTGGGGGTGAGGGGGGGAGACGGGAGAAGAGGGCGAGACGTGAATTAGAATTCGGGAATCCAGAATGAGCAACACAAGTGATGAACGTAAATACATCCCCTGCCTAGGCGCCCATGCCTCTATGCCAGCCTCTACGCCCACTCCCTACCTTTCTGAACCGACCAGAGAGTGCCTGGTACCTACTATGGCGACTCACATTGTCAATGTCCCACACGCGCACGGTCTTGTCAAACGATGACGTGGCGACACGTGGAAGGCTGGGGCTAAACCGCACGTCGGTGATGAGCAGCGAGTGGCCCTCCAGCGTGGCGCGCATGGAGAGGGAATCCATCTCCCACAGCACAGCCTGTTGAGGGGAGAAAGGAGGAAGAGGAGGAGAGGAGGAGGGAAGGAGGGGAAAGGTGGTGCAGCATTGAGTGGCGGCAAGTGGCCCTCCAGAGTGGCGCGCATGGAGAGGGGAATGGAAGGGGTGAGGTAGAGAGTAGTAGGAGAGCGGCGGGGTAGGGAGGGGTGGAGTGGGTGGTGTGGGGATGTGCGTGTGTGAGTTGTTATCTTTCAGTAAGAAAATCTGGTGGTTCTGATTGACATGACACTGACTTCCACTGTCCTCACCTGCACTCTGCACTCACCGTCTCGTTGCCGCCCTTCAGAGAGATGGCAGCACACCACACACTGTATCGTCACGGCCGGCATCGGTTGTCCTCATCTGCAATGCACTGTGCACTCACCGTCTTGTCGTGGCCGGCGCTCGCAAGCAGCTTGCCGTCCTGGGAGAAGTGGCAGCACACCACACACTTACTGTATCGCCACGGTTGGCACCCATTGTCATAACCTGGTGCACTCACCGTTTTGTCATGGCCCGCACTGGCGAGCAGCTTCCCGTCCTGGGAGAAGTGGCAGCACACAGCGTATCACCACAGCCGGCATTTCTCGTCTTGATACTCACCGTCTTGTCGTGGCCCGCACTCGCAAGCAGCTTCCCGTCCTGGGAGAAGTGGCAGCACACCACCTTGGTGGAGCTGGCCCTTAGGCACCCATACTCCGTGAAGGAGAAACCTGCACGGGGGAGTTGGGGAGCAGTTGAGGGAGGGAGGGGGGTTACAGTGAGCAGAGCTGGCCAAGGCGCAGGCTCCTGTTCTCCTTCAAGGCAGCACACCACCTTGGTGGAGCTGGCCCTCAGGCACCCGTTCTCCGTGAAGGAGAACCCTGTGGGGGGGTTGGAGAGAGGAGTAGAGGGAGAAGCGGGTTTACAGCAAGCGGAGTTAACCAAGGGACAGGCAGCACACCACCTTGGTGGAGCTGGCCCTCAGGCACCCGTTCTCCGTGAAGGAGAACCCTGCGAAAGGGGTTGTGACAACGGGGTTTCAGGAAGCCGAATTGACCAGGGGACAGCATACCTTTCCACAATTTTCTCCTCCCAGGCTCCCACCTCACCAGTCCCTCTCACCCTCCTGTCCCTCCACACTCCCTCATCACCCACCAGTTCGCCTCCCATCCCCCCCTCCCCCCTCCCACACGCACCCACCTTTCCCGTCCATGCTGCCCATGCTGCTGCGCTTGCCGGTGCAGAAGAGCGGCTCGCGGCCATCGCCATCGTCAGTGGAGAGGAACGAGTCCACATTGTCGTCCAGCGACCCGTCGTCCCCCACCCCCACCCCAAACCGCTCCAGCTCCACCAGCTGGTTCCCCGGGGACGGCTCGCCTGAGAGCGTCCCTTCCATGCCAAAGCTGGTCGGGAGAGGCGGGACGAGCGGGGGAGGTAGCATCTGGGGGAGGGAGGATCCTAGCTGGGGGCTCTGCTGCTGGTGTTGATGCTGCTGCTGGTGTTGGTGTTGCTCCTCCTGCTGCTTCTGCTGCTCGGCCGTGGCTTGCTGCTGCTGCTGCTGCTGCTGCTCTGCCTGTGTCTGCGGGCGAGGCTCAGGCTTCACAGCCCCTCCTGCAGCCCCCCCATCCGCACCAGCAGCACCAGCAGCACCAGCACCAGCAGTGCCAGCAGCGCCACCAGCAGCAGTGCCAGCAGTGGTACCAGCAGTCCCATCACCAGCAGTACCACCACCACCACCAGAAGTCCCGGCACCACCACCAGCAGCAGTGGCAGCAGCAGTAGCAGCGGCAGTGGCAGCGGCTGCAGCAGTGGCAGGGGTGCCGTTGCTGGTGGCAGGGCCTGATGATCCCGGCTGCTTCCTCTTTCGCCCCAACCTTCCCCCTTGGCCCCTCTGCTTGCCACACGGGTTGGAAGACGGAGGCAAACAATAAGGGAAGGGAGAGAGGGGAGAGTGTTAGAAGAACCGCAGTGGCAGCAGCAGTGGCAGGGGTGCCGTTGCTGGTGGCAGGGCCTGATGATCCGGGCTGCTTCCTCTTTCGCCCCAGCCGCCCCCCTTGGCCCCTCTGCTTGCCACACGGGTTGCAGGCGAGAGGAGAGGGGAGGGGAGGGGAGTGATTGAAAGATTGTCAGAAGATAGCAGATTGTCAGCAGGATGACATGCAACAGAGCAGAGAAGTGACGCATTCAAGGGGAAAAAAAGGGGGGGAGGGGGTTGAAAGGTGAGAGAGTACCACAATAGGTAAACCAACAAAAGGGGGGGATGAAGGGGTCCAGTCCTTGAAAATATAAAGGGGGGAGTGAGGGGGGGGGGAGGTAAAAGGTGAGAGAGTACCACAATAGGTAAACCAACAAAAGGGGGGGATGAAGGGGTCCAGTCCTTGAAAATATAAAGGGGGGAGTGAGGGGGGGGGGAGGTAAAAGGTGAGATTGTACCACCTAAGGTAAACCAACAAGGCAAATACAGAAAGAAAGCACGATGCTTCTGCAACGCAGATTCGGCCCGAAATTATGAGAAAACCCCAAAGTGACTAACTACCTTGGTGACAGTGCCTGTGCTGGTGATGCTGGGTGCGGGCTCCATGCCACTGAGAGAGCTCTGCTCCCCTGCACCTCCTCCGCCACCACCCCCTCCGCCCCCTCCACTTCCGCCATTACCACCCCCACCTCCCCCCCATCCACCACCACCACCGCCACCAGCAGAACCAGGCACACCCATCTGCTGCTGCTGCTGCTGCTCTTGCTGCCCCTGCATCCCCCCCTGTGCCCCTCCCTGTCCCCCCTGCCCCTGTCCCTGTCCCTGCGCCTGACCCTGCTGCTGCTGCCCTGCTGCTCTCACTGGTCCGCCTATGCTGCCCTGCCGTCCCATCCCCCCCTGATGCCCCTCCTGCTGCATGTGCTGCCCAGGCGCCCCCATCACCTGCTGCTGCTGTTGCTGCTGTTGTTGCTGCTGCTGTTGCTGCTGTTGTTGCTGCTGCTGTTGCTGCTGCTGCTGCAGTAGCAACTGCTGGTGTTGCTGCAGCAGCAGCAGCTGCTCCTGCTTCACCTGTGCGCCCATCAGGCCCCCCATGGCCCCCTGCGCGCCCATGGCCCGTGCTCGTTGAGCTTGCAGCTGAAAAGAACAAGAACACAGCAAGCAGGGCGACACACAAGTAAAAAAGGGGCGTCAATGAGCTGAGCACATTTTGAGACGTCTCAAAGGGCGACACACAAGTAAAAAAGGGGCGTCAATGAGCTGAGCACATTTTGAGACGTCTCAAAGGGCGACACACAAGTAAAAAAGGGGCGTCAATGAGCTGAGCACATTTTGAGATGTCTCAAAGGGCGACACGCAAGTAAAAAAGGGTCGTCAATGAGCTGAGCACGTGGAGAAAACAACTGCTGATCGCCCATCAGGCTCCCCATGGCCCCCTGTGCGCCCATGGCTCGGCTAAGGAGAATAACAACATGGCAAAATGGGGGACGCACAAGTCAAATCGATTTCAACAATCAGCATGGGAAGGAGAAGAAAACTCCTCGCGGAATCATCTCATGCTCCTCCTGAGCCGACAACTCTATGAGACGTCTCAAACCTCTCAGCACCCACCCACCCACCCACTGCTCCCGCCCTGCTCACCTTGAGAATCATCTCCTGTTGCTCTTGAGGCGACGCTCCTCAACTGAGAGCAGCAGCAGCCGCCACAGCAGCAGCAGCACCGGACGGCAGCATCCCAGCAGGCGACCCCACACTGGGCGACCCATCGGGCCACCCTTCTCCTCCCCTCCTCCCCTCTTCCCTTCCCACCCACCCTCCCTGCTCACCTTGAGAATCATCTCCTGTTGCTCTTGAGGCGACGCTCCTCAACTGAGAGCAGCAGCAGCCGCCACAGCAGCAGCAGCACCGGACGGCAGCATCCCAGCAGGCGACCCCACACTGGGCGACCCATCGGGCCACCCTTCTCCTCCCCTCCTCCCCTCTTCCCTTCCCACCCACCCTCCCTGCTCACCTTGAGAATCATCTCCTGTTGCTCTTGAGGCGACGCTCCTCAACTGAGAGCAGCAGCAGCCGCCACAGCAGCAGCAGCACCGGACGGCAGCATCCCAGCAGGCGACCCCACACTGGGCGACCCATCGGGCCACCCTTCTCCTCCCCTCCTCCCCTCTTCCCTTCCCACCCACCCTCCCTGCTCACCTTGAGAATCATCTCCTGTTGCTCTTGAGGCGACGCTCCTCAACTGAGAGCAGCAGCAGCCGCCACAGCAGCAGCAGCACCGGACGGCAGCATCCCAGCAGGCGACCCCACACTGGGCGACCCATCGGGCCACCCTTCTCCTCCCCTCCTCCCCTCTTCCCTTCCCACCCACCCTCCCTGCTCACCTTGAGAATCATCTCCTGTTGCTCTTGAGGCGACGCTCCTCAACTGAGAGCAGCAGCAGCCGCCACAGCAGCAGCAGCACCGGACGGCAGCATCCCAGCAGGCGACCCCACACTGGGCGACCCATCGGGCCACCCTTCTCCTCCCCTCCTCCCCTCTTCCCTTCCCACCCACCCTCCCTGCTCACCTTGAGAATCATCTCTTGCTGCTCTTGAGGCGACGCCCCTCGACTGAGAGCAGCAGCAGCCGCCACAGCAGCAGCAGCACCGGATGGCAGCAACCCAGCAGGCGACCCCACACTGGGGGACCCACCCCCCTCCTCCCCTCCTGCTTTTCCCCCCGCTCCCGCTGCTGCCGCTGCTGCCATCGCAGCTGCAGCAGCAGGGTTCCCAGCTACCCCCTTACTCAGTAACTGTCTCAGCTGCCGGTTTTCCATTTCTGTAGCCATACCCGCCCCGAATCCCACTAGGGACGTCCCTCCTGCCGCCCGCCCAGGCAGATTGCCGCCCAAACCCGCCCCACCACTCACCGCCCCAGCTCCCGCTCCCCCTCCCCCTTGCATTCCCGCTGCTGCGCCCGCCCCTGCTGCTCCCCCTGCTGCCCCCCCTGCGCCTCCCCCCGCGCCTGCTAGCCCTGCTAGCGCGCCTGCGTTGGTGATGAGGCCCTGTGCCTGTGCCTGCTGCAGCAGGTGCTGCTGCTGTATGGGCGAGAGCATCTGGTACTGGGGCGAGTTGAAGAGACGTGCAATCTGACGCATGGTGGTGGGGAGGGGAAGGGGGTATACGCCAAGGTAAGAGGATTAGTGAGAGGATTTTGCATCCGTGCCCCCTGCTGCAGCAGGTGCTGCTGCTGTATGGGCGAGAGCATATAGTAGTGGGCCGAGTTGAACAGCTGTGCGATTTGAGGCATGGTGGTGGGGAGGGGAAGGGGGTTAGGCAAAAGAGAGAGGATTCGTGAGAGGAGTTTGAACCTGAGCCTGCGCCTGCTGCAGCAGGTGGTGCTGCTGTAAGGGCGAGAGCATCTGGTACTGGGGCGAATTGAACAGACGTGCAATCTGAGGCATGGTAAAGGTGAGAGCATCTGGTTTGGGGTGGGTGGGGGCTTACCGAAAGACCTGCGGGCCAGTTTCCCTTCATCTGCTGCAACTGAGCCGACCTAGCAGCTGATGATATGCCTGGTGCGCACAGAACCAGGGGGGAGGTTGGCCCGGGAGGGGGGACGAAGGGAGGGGAGGGAAAGGGAAAGCTGGTGATATGCACGATGGGCCAGTTGCCCTTCATTTGCTGCAACTGAGCCGACCTAGCAGCTGACGATATGCCTGGCGCGTATGGAAGCAGGGGGAAGGGGGGACGTCGGTGGGGGAGAGGGGAGGGGACGGAAAGGGAAAGCCAATGATATGCCTGACGTGTACGAATTCAGGGGTGGGGCGAGGGGCAGCGGAGGGAGGTGAGGGGGGAAGGGGGAGGGGGTATGCAGGGACGGGTAAGTACGATGGAGAGAGGGAGAGAGGAAAGAGAGGAAGAGAGGAAAGACTGCGTGTATTGCGAACGAGAGAAAGATGGGGATGCAAAGAAGGGGAAAAATCACTGATGGGCATTGACTTGTGCGGAACCAAATCCGACAATCAAGTCGGACACACCTTGTGCCATGGACGCGAGTGCATTGTCAGATATGGCCGATCCTGCCCGCCCCGACATGACTGCATGCACATCTGCCTTGCTCTCCTGCTCGCACAGGGGACAGCGGACAAGTTAGTTATACGATAGAAAGAAACAAGTCAAGGACATGGGATTAGAACAACAAGAACTGCCCACCCTGACATGACCACATGCACATCTACCTTGCTCTCCTGCTCGCACACAAGTCACCTGGACGACAAGGATACCAACCACCTATGACTCCTCCTTGGTATGGGGCAGACGCGATGTAGGAGCAGGGGAAGGGTGACTTTTGAGTCGACTCAAAAGTCACCTGGACGACAAGCATACCAACCACCTACGACTCCTCCTTGGTGTGGGGAAGACGCGATGTAGGAGCAGGGGAAGGGGAAGAGACTGGTGAAAAAGGGATAGCGCGAACAAAAGGAAAGAAAGATTAACGGAGGAGGGAGAGGTACGGGAAGTGGGGGATCACCTGGCTAACGCTAGGGGATGCAGCTCCAGCTGGTGGCATCATTTGCTGTTGCTGCTGCTGTTGTTGCTGTTGTTGCTCCTGCTGTTGCTGTTGCTGCTGCTGCAACTGCTGTTGCTGTTGCTGTTGTTGCTGCTGCTGCTCGTGCTCCTGCATCTGGTGCTGCTGCTGCAGTTGTTGCAGCTGCTGCTGCAGCTGCTGCAGAGGCAGCTGCGGCAGCCCCTGGGACTGGGACTGTGACTGCGCTGGCTGCTGCTGCTGCTGACTTTGCTGTTGGTTCTGCTGCTGTTGCTGCTGCTGCTGCTGCTGCTGCTGCTGCTGCTGCTGCTGCTGCTGCAAGTGCTGTTGCTGCAGGGACTGTTGGGACATGCCTGCCGCGTTGCCAACGGTCGCCAGGTGCCTATAAAAGCAACAGCAGAGGGCGGGACGTAACAAACAAAGAGAGGCGACTTTAGTGGGATTAGCTGGAGTGGGGAAGCAGAGAACATGTGACGGAGGAAGACTTTTGAGTCGACTCAAAAATCAGCTGGAGTGGGGAAGCAGAGAACATGTGACGGAGGAAGACTTTTGAGTCGTCTCAAAAATCAGCTGGAGTGGGGAAGCAGAGAACATGCGACCGAGGAAGCAAGGATGGTTTAGTGAAGGGGGAGGAAGTACGGAAGGTTCAAGGAAGTGCCAGTGGTGTGATGAGCGATTGGAAAAAGTATGAAAGAATGAGGGTGGGTGGCGACAGAGAGGGAAGGGAGAAAGAGAGAGCTTACCTCTGCTCAGTATGGGAGATTGTTCCGTACATAACAGCATGAGATCGTCAGTGGCGAATCCAGCATGAGTCGTGTACGTATGCCACGCAACCATGGCACACAGACAGACCCACACACGTCAGTCAGTCGTAGGGGGCATACAGACGGAGGAGAGCAGAGCACAGCACACATAGGGAGCACGTGAGGAAGAGACGTGAGACGAGCACGTGAGGAAGAGACGTGAGACGAGCACGTGAGGGGCGCATGAGAGCGCTGGGAGCATTGAACAGCAGCCCATTTCAGCTAAGGTGGGGGAAGACCAGAAACATTGGTTTGGCTTCAGCTTCCATTCAGAACGCAATATGCACTCTCCCCAAACGCTCCAACTCTGTAAACTATGAACTCACACACACCACTGCGTATGCTTATACTGCTCACCCTGAGTGCAGCCTCGTCCATGCTCGCCCTGCTCTCCGCCCTCGCCAGCTGCGCCTGCTTCGGCCGCTCCTCATACAGCCGGCAGGTCGCGGCCCAAACCCACTTTGGCCCACTATAAACCCACCAGAACCTGTACATCACCAACACACTCACGTCACTGTCTGCGGTACTCACCCTGAGAGCCGCAGCCTCATCCATGCTCGCCCCGCTCTCCGCCCTGGTCAGCTGCGCCTGCTTCAGCCGCTCCTCATACAGCCGGCTCGCCAGCACACCACTCGCTGCCTGCCTCAACCCCGCCTCCCCTGCTACACCTCCCGCAACGCCGTTCGCCACTCCGTTCCCCCCCAGCCCTGCCAGCTGCCCCGCCTCCCGCCGCTGCTGCTGCAGCTGCCGTTGCTGTAGCTGCATTTGCAGTTGCTGTAGTTGCAGCTGCTGCAGCTGCTGCTGCTGCTGTTGCTGAGAAGAAGCTGCGGGTTGTGGTGGCGGTGGCGGGGGGGTTGGCTGCGACGCTGCTTGCTGCTGCTGCTGTTGCGGCTGCTGTGAGGGGGGCTGCATTTGCGACTGCTGCTGCTGCTGCTGGTGAAGGCTCTGTGCTTGCTGCTGCTGCTGCTGCTGCTGCTGCTGCTGCTGTTGCATTCCAGGAAGCACGGGCAATTGTTGCTCATCCTGCTGCATTGGATCCTCTCTTCCCTGCTGCTGCTGCGGCTGCTGGTTCAGCTGTTGCGGGGTCACGGCCTGCTGGGTTGCCTGGTGTGGGGATGGTTGGATGGGACCGCCTAGCTCTTGCTTCAGCTGCTGCCTTTGCTGGGCCCTCTGCTGCCGCTGCAGCTCCCTTGCTTTGATCTGCTGAGTCTGGAAGCAGGGACATGTGAAAGCAAGAGAGAAAGAAAGAGAGAAATAAAATCTCATGTTGACAGCAGAAACGGGTCATGACAGTAGAGGGGGACTCTGCAGAAAAACAAAAAGAAACTCTGTTAGTTTGACTGGAGTTAGGGATACCTACCTCGATATAGGAAGCCGCGACTTCGGAATGCTTCTCATTGGTCCGTGCGATAAATATGTCCCAGAACACCGACCACCACTCGAAAAGGAACCCTCCAGGAGCATTTATGGCTGCAGACACCCACCAAAGAGTTTATCAAATTTGCGGAGAGAACAATGCAGGATGCAGCAAAAGATATCGGTACGACCATGAACGATGCAGGATGCAGGAACGATGAAGAGAGAACAGAGGCGGGGCCGTACCGACGGGGTCTGACGAGACTTTCGCCTCGGCGAGAAACGTTTCCGCGGATTTCGGCAAGCCTCGCTTGCATAGGTAGTCGTAAATGTACACATCCAGCCTGGAAGCAATAACCGGGTAACCAGAATTAGCGAAAGAAAGACGCAGGAAAATGAAGACCTCAGTTGGTCACGTTGCAGCCGAAGCCCTAGAAATAATAAGATAATGGGAAAGCGTTTGACGCCGGCTCATAAGAAATTAAGAAAGCGAAGAAAATGCGGGAAAAAAAAGGACAACAAGGCATTATTTTCAGAAGACAGGAAATCGTAACGAAGAGGAGAGGGGAGACTGTTGGCTTCAGGATAAGGCTTCATCGAACGCCTTTACAATGTTGCGGACATGACGACATCAACTCCAATGCGAGTGGCTCTATGATATCTATAGCGCCTCGAAAGCCGGCGTTCGCAACGTTGCGCACGTACTATATTCATGACACGGCCGGGAAAACGAGCCTGGGGATTTTTTTTTTTTTTGCTTTGCTCGAGACCCTACGGTAGAACCTAGGGTCTGGAAAACGTACATTTTGTCGGCCTCCCAGCTGTTGTGTGCCATAGTCCGATTACGTGAAAACGCGACTCGCCTCAAGAGCACTTATCACGGCCAAAACTCTCGCAATTCAACACGGCATGCGACGACCTATCATTGCTGGACAGTTAGTGTGCTCAAAGATTTGTTCTGGTCACATTGTCAGCTTAGCAGCAACGGGCTATATTCCCTGCTAGACTGATCAGGCAAAGTCAGTCAGTCAGCACATGGTCCCACGCGTCGCCTGTAACAGAAACTCCCTCGACGCTGGGGAGAGAAGGAAAATGCACCCTAGAAAACTGTTGCTCCACTGCTGCACTGCAAGGTTCGTTTGTTCTCCTCCAGAAAATAGCTTGACTTGTGACTCTGCTTCCTTGACCTACACCCCACAGGCCTCCTCTCTCAGATAACGAAGCATAAATGCAATGATGCGAGTTTCAGTGTGGTTTGGAGCAATTTAAAATTTTGCAGAGCGGTACGACGCACTTTGAGTGCTTCTCTGTGTAATCAGCAGCACCTCTCCAACTCCAAACCACCCCCATGACCGCTTGGCCTGCGCATGTCAGCCAAAAAGGACGGCCGAGTTGCCTGCCTCACTCGTTCCGCCCTGTGCCCTCCACCCACCCTCATCAGTCATCACCCTCGTGCTTCCCTTTCCTGACCTCCTCCTACATCCCTCTGTCGAACCTCACCCATTCGCGCAAAGACAGACCAGGCTTGGCTTGGCACACGGACGGCCCCTTCCGTCAAACTTCCCCGAGCCTAGCGATGGGCTGCAGCTCTGAAAAGGCGCAACCAGACCAGAATCATCGGGCAACCGAAGCTCAGCTCTCCTCTCTGCACCTCATCCCAGGCTCGGGCCAGCATGCTCGAGCCAACAACTTGCCATACCTGAAACATCCCTACGTCATGTCTTCGAGCTTCGTGGCTTTGCCAAACCTCTCCATATCTTCCTCCGCACGCGCCCGCATGTTCTTCTGTGTTGTTCAATATTGCCAGGTTCGGCAGCATAACTCGTCAAACATCCATTTACCTATATTCTAGAATGTACACTTTAATCCCTGAACATGTCAGATTCAGTATAACAGCTCAAGAAATGTCCAAGCCATTCAAAATGTGACTGTCGTGTCATCTACACGGCCATTCTCCTGCTTGCCTAGTGCCT